AAAATTATCAACCTCATTTTCATCTATCGGCTTTATTGTTTCTTTGTGTGTCTCGTTCTACTGAAGACACTGGATGACCCCTCCCTTTCTCTTTTATGTATTTTCTTTAAAATCCATTTTAACCGTCCAAAATCGCGTTTTTGGATCGTGAAAAGCAGCTAAGCTGAGAAGCTAAGCTACGAGCTAAGCTAACGGGCCGACCTCGGGGATAAAACCTCCGTCTTATCGAAGCTCCAAAATTCACGGTTGAAACGCATGCCTTTGTGTAAAAACTTTTTTTTTTCCTGCAAAAAGAAGCTGAGAACTCGTTTAGTGATTTTTTTATTAAAAGTTTTGTGTGAAAAATGCTATGCTAAAGAGCTCAAACCACACCGAGCGTCCGCCATTTTGAGAACCGAAGAAATGGAAAGAGAGACAGCCCGTGTCCCGTCAAGGGGCCTCCCTCCCTTTTTTCTTAGAGACACACTGCTTGCTCCATCACTGTCCATCCTTCAGTTGAAAGTCTTATACTGCCATCCGGTGGTCGGAAAAAAGTACTACACACAAAACAAATTAACCAACATTTCATCTTAAATTTAACAATAATTACTAATTATTGACAAATTTCAAACATTATCGTTTATTGCAATAGTTTCTGAAAAATTATCTGCCCAGCAAAATTTGTTATCATGACAGGCCTATTAACAAGTTTTTGTAAGACAGGTAACAGCTCCAGAGATATACGTTTTTTAATCTAATGCTTACATAACAGGTACACTGGAATTTTTTTAAAATTATTATTTCACTACTGACAGAAAAAACAAGTAATGCACTGAATAAGATCAATTTGAACAAAAAGTGTTTAAAAAATCCAGAAAACAATCGGAAACACGTGTTCAAAGAAACTGACTTGCTCCTATAGACGGGCAAGTTTAGTCATAATTAATGACACATAATTAATGCACATAAAGTCATAAACTAAAATGTGTTGAAACAACTTTACCTCCCATATAAACCTACATATTTAATAAACGCTTGGCTATAATTGTTTTATTTAAAGTGAACCTGGTGTTATGAACCAACACCATTGCAGAATCAGCTGAGAAATATCAATAAAATGAATGATGGACAGTTTGAGGCACTTCAGCAGCTAATGTGGACACATCTTACTAAAATACTGTAGAGGTTTTCTTCTAAAGTCCATTCACACAATGGAGTCTTTATGTGGAACATTAAATATGCTCAGAGGGGTCCTGCTGCCTCTGTGAACCCACTAAAGATGTGTCTCCCACTGAGTAAGATTGACAGCTTTCAGGAGTGAGCTGAAGGGAACCTCTCGCCCCGAGTGTGTGTGTAATGTGAGACAGGTCTTCTGATGAGCACTAATCAGCTGCGGCTCCTGACCCCATGGCGGTAAAGCTGCCACGAGGGAGAGAGCTAACAACTCCACCTGTGTGTGTCTGTTCACATGGGTCGTCTCCGTTAGACGAACAAGTTAAATTCAGTCAAAGTTCAAAGTTCAAAGTGAGGGAAAATACATTCCAAAACTAGAGAAACTGCACTTCCTGCGAAAATGCAGTGTGAATGCTTATTGCTAAACTTGCTGAAAAACAACTGAAATTAGCTCAAACCATGCTGAAATGTAGCTGAAAATGAAGAGCAAGCCTAAATTAGCAGAAGAGAGCGGAAAGAACACATATTTGCTGAATTTGGTTTAAATAAGCAGAAGTGAAAAATTTGTAAATTAGCACTAAAGGTTGAAATTAGCACAAAAAAAATTGCTGAAAGATCGCTGAAAAGGTAGAAAAGAGCTCAAGTTACCAGAAGAGGAGCGAGCACAATTGTGCCCAATTAAGTTGAAAGAAGCAGAAATGAGCACAAAAAAACGTGGAAATTATCAGAGAAAAGCTGAAATTAGGACAAAAAGAAGAAGAGGGAAAGAAAAACAGCTGAAAAGTAGCTAAAACATCAGAAAGAAGCTTAAAGGAGCAAAAGTGGAGTGAGCACATTTTTGCTGAATTAGGCTGAAAAAAGCTTAAATGAGTGCAAAAATTGTAAAATTAGCTGAAAAAGTGAAAATTTGCATAAAACAGCTAAATAATAGCTGAAATAAGTGAAACTTGCATAACAAGGTGAAAGGAGCCTAAATAAGGTAATTAGGCTGAAAGTAGCAGAAATTACCACAAAAAAATTGAATTTATCTGAAAACAGCTGAAATTAGCTGAAAAAAAAAAAGCTAACAAGCTAGCTGAAAAGGTAGAACAAGCTTCAATTAGCAGAGGAAAGTATGAAAAACATGCTTGCACAATTAGGCTGAAAGAAGCAGAAATGAGCACAAAAAACAATAAATTATCTGAAAAGTGATGAAATTAGCAACAACAAAAAAAAAAACCTGCTGAAAAGTAGCTAAAAAAAGGCAGAACAAAGCTTAAATTACCAGAAGGAAGTAGAAAGAGCACATTTTGCTGAATAAGGCTGGAAAAAGTTGAAATGAATGAAAAAAGTGGAATTAGCTGAAAAAGCTTAAATTAGCATAAACAGCTAAATAGTAGCTGAAATAGCAGAAAAAGATGAAACTTGCATAAATAAGCTGAAAGGAGAAAAACAAGCTGAAATTAACAGAAAGAAGTTAGAAGCCCAAAAATGTTGTAGTTAGCAGAAATAAACTGAAAGGAGAACAAAACCGACCCCCCCCCCCCCCCCCCAAGCTGAAATTAGCTGCAAGCAGCTGAAAAAAGTTTTATATTTGCAGAAGGAAGCTGACAGAAGCTGAACCAGAACAAAATGTAAAAGGAGCAGTAAAAAGTTGTAAACAGATCTAAAGATGTGAAGGATGTAAAATGAGCTCAATTAATTTTCCATGAGAAAAAAGTGGCAGAAAAGGCTAAATATTTCAAAAAGCTAAAGTTGCACCAATACCAAAAGTCATAACACCCATCTCCTGAACGTTGTGATATATGAATTCCATTCAATTCAATTCAAAAATACTTCATTAATCCCAAAGGAAAATTATTTGTTGTAACTCGTTATCCTCGTTTCATTAAGAGATGTTATAGATACTGATGGCTGTAGACAGGAAGGATCTCTTGTAAAGGTCCATCCCACAGTGGATCCTAAGAAACCAGCTGCAGATGTCGTCCGATCTGTCCACCCAGACTCAGCTGGCCTCTCGGTTCCCCCGGGCTGTAGGATCGCCCGAATGCCGGGCAGAACTCCTCCCAGAGCGATGGCCACTCCTCCCAGCAGTCTGCTGAGCTCCTCATCGCTGCGGACAGCCAACTGTAGGTGCCGAGGGACGATCCTGTCCTTCCGCTGTCATGAGCCGTGTTTCCTGCTAGTTCCAGGATCTCAGTGGTCAGGCACTCGAGCACAGCTGGCAGGTAGATGAGAATGCATCCACAGAACATCCATTCAACACATTTGAGATTTGGGGCTGTAGTCGAGATATTATTTGAGCTTTTGAGATGTTAATCAGCTGCTGTTGGTTGTAGAAAACTGCCTTGTTGCCATGGTTACGCATCATAACAAATGTCCAAAACTAAAAAAGTTTCAGTAAAAATCCTTCCAGCTGCACAGCATCTGATACCAGAGGAAACAATCATCCAAAAAATGTGATTTACATCCAGAAAAAGAGGAATTAAAGTTTCCAAAAGCAAAATCTCAGAATGAAAGTAACAGAGCTGCTCCAACATGCAGCCACCTTGAGCACATTGATTGAACACTTTGCAGGTACATTTAGCAAAAATGACAAAAACCAGTAAGGGAGTGCTGGAGCATCAGCTGACTGCTGAGCTACACCGCCTGTCGCCTCGTGTTATGGTCGTAGTGAGGAACAGCCGGAGTGGCAGCAGCTTTCTAGGAGCATCAGCTGCCCAGTGGATGAGACGTGCTCTAGCCTGAGAACCCAACACACACACACACACACACACATCTGCATAACACACACCACTGCTTTTCATGTTACTCATCCAGGTTCATTTATTGTTTCCCAGAGTCAAAGGCCAGACAGGAGAAATCATTACAGACATTAAAAGTGTTTGAGTCTGTCTAATTAAAAAAATGTAAATGATATATTAGGTGAAACAAAGCTGCTTGTTTACATAGTTTTAGTTACCACTCATGATAATTACAATGTTGGACTCAGATTGGTTGTAGAACTATACCAGATATTGTCAGGATCGTCCCACGATGCGAGAAATGATACGTAGAGATGACTGCAACCATAAAAATGTAAACCAGTCGCAGTAAATCTTAAAACTGGATTAAAGATCTGTGTGGCAACTTGGTAAATGTGTTAAATAAAAAAAGACAAAGCCGATCGGCGCTGTAGTGATTGACGAGTCAAACTTTTGACACCTGGTTGTATATTTTACAACATCCTTAAAAAGATGCATTTACAAGACGTAATTTACTGCTCAACAGAATCATCATCAGATTAAATACAGCACATAAATCCTAATCCTACAAGCACAAAATGCAGGGTTGTAGAGGGCAGAGAACATTCTCAAATTGTTCATAAAAAACTGTAAAAGGGCTGTTTACAAACATATAATGGTGGCCTACTGCTTTAGTTGCTTTAAATAAATAAAAAATACAACCTCTATTCTTAGAGAGAGTGCTTCACCTGAGCCTTTTAATCTCATAAATAATCTCACAATGACTAAATTCAACAACCAACTCTTATCGCCGTGTATTTTGTTCAGTTTTGTTGCATAGTGTCGATTTATGGTGCAGTTTGTGGGCTAGAACAACAACAACAAAAAAATGTCGGAAATTAAAGCCAAGCTTCTCAATGAAAGCAGTGTTGTGTATTACAGATGAAAACGCGGTGTATTGCACGGGGATCTTCAAGGAGGACGGTTCAGGCCCGTCAGTGGACACGTTACAGTACTTGAATAATGCAGTGAAGACATGAGGAGGCAGAGGGGTCCATCGTTCAGATCCTTTTAGCTCACAGTTAATGAGTGCAAATGCAACGATGCTGTAGTGGATCATCGCTCACGCACGGCGCCACATGTGTAAAGTGTTCCCTGCACAAACACGAGCACTGCTCCTCGTTAAACTTGGTCTGAAATTCTAAAGCGCTACGAGGAAAATGCATAACCTGATGTTACTGTGCATGCATTTGAACGTCCAGCTGCAGGGGAGCCTGTCCAGTTTATCCAGCATGGAACTCTGGTTTTTTCCCGGTTCCATGATCGCTCCATCTATTTGGGCCATTCCACTTTTGTGAAGAAGGGGTGGGATTTTATATCGTCGACCCCTCCGGCGCCCGCCCCCAGCCTCTCCATTGGGTTGTACTGGAGTAGCTGAACAGGAGACAGACATCAAGAGTGAAAAATGCAGCATTTACTCTGCTGAGCAGAAAATTATATTTTACAAAAGTATTCATCAACAGAACAGGCATGTGTAAATAAATACTTCTTTTTGGATGCACTGATTCACTTTTTTCACTTCCGATACCCGATACGATACCGATACAATACAGGAAAAACAATGCTGAATTCTCTTAAAACATTTTTTTAAATGTACTGAATTACAAATTTATTGAAAACTCTGCACCAGTACAGCACACTTAAACACACCAGTAGCTTCACAAGCTCGGTCAAACGTGTAAAAAACAACACAACTTTAATTTGTTCAGTCAATGCTTTTATGAGTATAACATCCGATGTAAAATAAATAAGAATAACTTGTTTATTATAAGATACTGAAATTGACAAAAAACAATAGGTTGACAACCTTGGTCAAACATGAAACTATAAACTTCAACAAACCTTTCAAATGGTTCAGGAATTCTAAATATAATGTAAAATAAATAATAAAGGAGCAGAAATAAGAGGAAAAAAAACAATAGCTTCACTAGCTTGGTTGGCAGATATTTAAAATAAACAGCAATCAGCTCCTGTCCTTATGAATTGGTCATATTGTCACTGATACCCATTCCAAATCAACCCCCCCCCACCCCCCGATATTGGTACCAATACTAATACTGGATCGGTGTATCTCTACCGATACACAATCTAGAATTTTTCCATGTATGTGCCAATACCGATACTAATATCGGATCGGTGCTCTCTACTTTTGCAGTCCTAGTAAAATGAGGGCGTCATATTATTTGTATGCTTGGCCACCCAATAGCATAAACACATGATTTACATCAGATTTGTGCTACATTAGACAGAGAAAAACCCAGTCGAGCCACATTAATGTACATCTAAAGATTACCAGTTTTGAGGATTTGCAATTAGCTTTAAGACATCAGCATGGTGCCAACATCGTTATTAAGGACATGTCCATCAGGAAGTGATTAGATCCGTTTATTTATCATAATCTGTCTGAATAATACATGCGTTCCTAATCATTTAAGGTAAGTATAATGCTTGGCTTTTATTTTGAAAGCACATTAAATCTTCTTGGTGGCCTAAGTTTTCTCTTTTTATTAAAGGCTTTTCATATTTGCTGTAAAAATGCAGCTTTTTAAAGCACAGCAGAACGGGATTGTGCTGCTAAAAATGGTTTAAATGAAAATGTTGAGAGAATTAATTGAATATAAAATATTAAATTAGATTAAATCAATATGAAAATTTTCCTCATTTCAATTCTATTTTCTCCCTGTTATCCACATGACAGAAAAAAATAATAATTCGGACCAAGCAAAAATTAACTGCTAGATAACATCACAAAATGTTTTATACTATATTTTCCTAAAAAATAAAATTTGAAAATCAGTGTCTAATATTAGATTTTGATGCTGGAAAGAAATGCATTTTTCAAAACTGCTCTAAATCGAAAACAAACAAATCCAAAACATTAATGTAATAATAAAAAAAGTATCAGTAAATAAATGTTTTAAAATATCTAACAGATTTGTTTGGCGACGTTGACAACGAACGTCTGTTGGCCTTCCCAAATGGTTTAACTGGTCATAACAGGGTCAGAAAAGACGGCAGGAAAACTGCTTAAATTACAATAATTGCAAAATGATTATGAATAAATAAACAAAATAAAGTTTTGGGTGCCTAATCTTGACAAGGATCCAAATAAAATGTTTAAAAATGATCACGTTTTTCTCAAAAAGCAAAATGATTCCATTTCTAAGCTTCACTGTGGCCACTATATACTAAAATAAAAATACAATTTTATTGTGAAAGTGACTTTATTTTAACAAAAGTTCCCCTATCTCTTGAGACTATCAAAATAAAACAAATAAAATGTAAGCGTATCTGATTTGAGGACGCCTGGTTGAGGCGAGTGCGCGGCCCCTCACCTGCTCCAGCAGAGACCTGGCCTCCTCTGAAACAGACTCTGGGATGCTGAGAGCCGTGTGGCGGTCGATTCCTGCTGGATGGCAGCGAGCTAGGGACTGAACAGAGGGAAGGAGGAGTGGAAAGAAGAGGGGCAGATAACCATCGATGTTAAACACGGAACGTTCGGACACCTGCGGAGCTTAAGTCAACGCTGAAGCATCGGAACTGAACAAAACAGGAGGAGGCCAAAGAGTCGGAGCACCTGAAACAACACTGATCCCACAAACAACAAGGTGATGATGTCACTGCTGCTGCTCTTTATTGGAACTGATGTGGGAGTCTGACACAGTGGGAAAAAATTTAAAAAATAATAGAAATAATAAAAACAAGACTGCTTTCGATAGATTTATTCCTCATCCACACAGAATCTTTATGAAGCTTTTTTTAGTAGGGATTGCACAATATTATCGGCATGGTATCGGTATCAGTTGATATTAACGATAAAGTTAAATATCAGACATCGGACATTCCATCAAAAAAACTCACTGATATAAAAGGCTTCTGTTTTAAGTTAATTTTTAATTCAAGAAACTGTCAAGTAATGGATGCACTACTACTAACGCGCTTTTCACTTGTCGCTTGTGAACAGGTTGAGTTTAAATTTGTGAAAATGTACAAATTTGCACTGTTCGAGTGTTGTCGTGTAACAGAGAGTAAATATCATGAATAAATTTGACATTAAACATAATCCAAGTTTAAGTGTTACATCATTTTCAGCCCCCTTTTTGGCATCTGTATTTGGCAACAGGTCAAACTGTTTTAATTCCACAGCAGAGAAAGCTATGCAAAAAAATATCGGCATCGGTATCGGTTATCGGCCAAACAAGTTTTAACATGTAGGATATAAGGGGGGAGTGGTGGCGCAGAGGTTAGAGAGGTGGGCTTGTGATCCGAAGATCGCCGGTTCGTGCCCCGGCCCCGACAACATCAAAATTGTGGGTGGGGTAGGTGAAACACCCACACTTGCCCCCACCCTCATTCGCCCCACTCTGGGCCCATGAGCAAGGCCCTTAACCCCCACCATGTGCTCCCTAAACAGGTCTCTCTTGAAAATGAGTTCTCGTGGCTCAATGAGACTAACCTGGATAAATAAAGGCTAAATGAAAAAAAATGAAAAAAATATCAGTGAAAATCCAATATTGTGCATCCCTACTTTTTCGTTGTTTTGCAAAGTAAAGCCAGGCCAGTTACGAAGTGCAAGTTTACTGTTGTGCTCACTGTAGGGTAAAAGTAGGCACAAGACTTTTAAGTGCTTTTTTTAAACCCCAAAATAAGAGGCTTTTGTTGTAATAATTGACAATAATTACTAATCACATGCTCTACCATCTACAGTAAAAAAAATCAAATGGAAATGCTGGGAACACGGAGCTTGTGCAGCAAGTAAAAGCCATAAAACTGTTGTTTTTCTTTCTTTCTCCAACAGCGAGGGCTGCTGCCTCGCTCCCTCCCTCGATACATGCTGCAGGAGTTCTGGCTGCGATCCTAGCAGCGGTTAAGACTGCTCCAGGCAAGATCTTATCCTGCAAGGATCAAGAGACACGATGTGTGTCTGTGTGTGTATTCTTGCCAGGGCGGTACAAAGACATAATCATCAAAGGAGACATCTGTGTGGCTGAGTTTTCTTTTTTTCCCCACCCAGGTAAGTAGGTGTGTATTGTTGAACATAATGACACTAACCCAACATGGACGGCTGATATAAAAACATGCCCACTGGCAACCAGAATTTATTCAAATTTAGGAGACAATGAAAAATTGATGGGACACTGCACCTGCACATGACTGTGCTTGTTACGGAGTCCGTAACTGTCCTTCAAGAGTGCTGAAAGTTACAATAGTGTGAATGTTTATGAAGCATTCACACTATCGTGATCCATTTTTCTTCCGTACGTTTTTCGGCATCTTAACTCATTTCGCTGCAGTTTTCAAGCTATTTCAACAAATCATAGATCAAAACGTTCAGCTCTTTCAGGACAATCCAGCTATGGCTTTTGGTATTGGTGCAACTTTAGCTTTTTGAAATATTTAGCCTTTGCTGACACTTTTTCCTCATAGAAAATTAATTGAGCTCATTTTCCATCCTTCAGATATTTAGATCTGTTTACAACATTTTACTGCTCCTTACACATTTTGTTCTAGTTCAGCTTCTTTCAGCTTCCTTGTGAAAATTTAAACATTTTTTCAGCTATTTTCAGCAAATTTCAGCAGTTTCTTCAGCTGTTTTGTGATCATTTCTGCTAACTACAACATTTTTGTGCTTCTTCTAACTTCTTACTGCTAATTTCAACTTGTTATGCTCATTTCAACTAATTTCTGTAAGTTTCAGCTGTTTAGGCTATTTCAGCTACTATTTAGCTGTTTTTTATGCTAATTTGAGCTTTTCCTGCTAATTCCACATTTTTTGCACTCATTCCAACTTTTTTCAGCCTAATTCAGCAAAAATGTGCTCTCTACTTCCTTCTGTTAATTTAAGCTTCTTTCTGCTTTTAGCTACTTTCACCTGGTCTTTTATTGCTAATTTCAACTTTTTCCGATTATTTCTACTTTTTGTGATAATTTGTTTTTTTAGCCTAATTGGGCAAACATGTTCTTTCTACATTCTTCTGCTAATTTAAGTTTGTTCTACTTTTCAGCTACCTTTTTAGCATTATTTAGATGATTTCTGCTGTTTTCAGATAAATTCAAGTTTTTCATGGTAATTTCTGCTATTTTTAGCCTAATTAACGTTCTTCTGCTAATTCCAGCTTTGTATGCTCCTTTCAACTTATTTCTGCTAGTTTCAGCTATTTGAGCTACTACTTAGCTGTTTTACGCTAATTTTAGCTTTTTTTTTTTTTTTTTTTTACAAATTTCACTTTTTTTTTTTTTTTAGCTCATTTCAGCTCTTTTTGCTTCCTTCTGGTAGTTTATCTTTTTTCTGCCTTTTCAGCTACCTTTTGCTAATTTCAGCTGTTTTTTTAGCTACTTTCCTAATTTTTGTGCTTATTTCTTCTTATTTAAACTTAATTCAGCAAATATGTGTTCTTTCTGCTTTCTTCTTCTAACATAGGCTTGTTCTTGTACTTCGGCTACATTTCAGCATGTTTGTGGCTATTTTAATCTGTTTTTCAGCAAGTTATTCTGCAATAAGCATTCACCCTGCATTTTCGCAGGAAATGCATTTACTCTAGTTAGAGTGTGCGTCTACGTGTTTTTTGTCCCTCCCTTCCTATCTCCCCTAGCTTGTCTTGAAAGATGGTCCCTCTGATCCTGGACCAGCCGGGCTGCAGAACTCTGAGAGCTGCCCAGGTCTTCACCTTGCATGCTGATCTGAGATCAGCGTGCCCGGAGCCCAGCGTTGCTCCAGGAGCCAGTAAAGAGGCCCGGGGAGAGCTGACCCAGTGGCCCGGCAGATGGAGCTCAGACTGGGGGAGAAAGTCACACCGACACCCTTGGACCTCCCAGAGAACCAGAGTAACAGACCGCAGCCAAGATGCAACCTTGCACACAAACAACACAAAAAACAACACTCGGACACATACACGGACTCACACACACACAAGCTGGCACGACCACAAAGAGTGTGAGAGAGTTTAAAGCCAAGACACCTACAGTCAGACCCCCCCCCCCCCCCCCCCAAACAAACAAAGACCAAACATAAAAAAACCCTAAAACATTTTCTGAACAGGTTTTGACTCACTGTGCTGGTCAGGAGCTCAAACAGGATGGCGCCCAAACTCCACCAATCGCACGACGCCGTCTCCTCACTGATACCTCCCACTTCTGAAGACAGAAGATAATAATCAATACTGAGCTGAGGGACCAGGTGAGGATGAACACAGGCAAGAAGGATCAACGAGTGAAGGAGCGAATCATGTTGATTTAGAAAAAACAGTCCAATGATCTTAGATGTTATTAGCTACGTCCTTTATGTTAAACACCGCTTCCTGTTGTCTCCCTGTAATATTTCACTGATTTCATCCAATTAATTCAAAATGAGCACAGAATCATCGACACAGTTACACGCGCACACACGCACAACGTGTGTGTCTCATAAAAGGGCGATTTGCATAATAAAAAGCAGTTAAATTGAGGAAACCGTCTGTGCTGCAACTTCACACCATCTGCATGACCTGACCTCAAACGCAAACACACACACTCCTACAACACACACACACACACGCCAAGACATGGAAAGTGGGAACACTTCATAGTCAAACACTGCATGTCTAAATTATAGTTTCTGGGCTTTTGTGTCAGATAATGGTTGAATGTATAATATTTTATTTGTTTGGGTTGTTAAAGTGTCAGGGGGTGTAAAACTAAAACAAGATAAAGGATTTATTTCTGTTATTACAGTGACAATTTTGGAGCTTTATTACTTTTGTCTCTTTGCAACCATCACGTCTTGTAGCAAAAAAACAACACTAACACAAATTGTTGGAAACTTCAGTGGAAGTTTGTTCACTTCAGTAAAACTCTGACAGCCGTCACAGCTGAAAGCTACGGGGCGTCCGCTGCAGAAACACAGAAACTAAGAGTGACATTCAGCCGTAGCTGCTGCTTGGTGGCTCCGCTGGTTACCAGATGGCCTCATGTGCTGCTCAGCTTGCCTCTCCTCCACGCTCCAGAGGGAGGGGCGCCTGGTCACCCAGAGGGCCGGGACCCTGGGTCACGGCTGTGTGTGCCCAGGGACCAGGCTCCTCAGCTGGGAGAGCATATTAGACAAAGACCCCTCGTTTCCTGGAGGCTGCTGGGAACTCTGGGGGCCCTGTGCATCCCTCTTGCAGCCAAGGTTGGAGAGGACTATGATACGACTTGCACGTTTCACATACACACACACACACACACACACACAAAGCCGACTGAGCAACCGGTCTTCAGGGCTTCCCAGGACCACTGTTTTGACAGCCAAGGAGAGAAGATCGTCATTGAACGGACCACTGATACCTGTGTAGCTATGAGCTGGGGGGAAGAAACTGGACACACACACACACAGTCTCAGAGCAAGGTCGATGTCATCACAATGGATTAATGTCTAAGGAGCTGCAGGGAGAGTACAGTGGAGCTGGCTACACTTACTGCTCTGTCAGAACGAGGAAGAGAGCAAAAGAGACAGAGGAAAAGTGAGCAGGAAGGGAGAATTAACTGCGTCCACAAGCCATGGGTCATCCAGCGACCACTGTTACAGTAGACCACCGAACGTGTTAATGATCAGAACTGGAGCGACTACACTACCTGGCAGGAAATCCAACAAAAGACAAGTCTAACGTAAATAAATAAAAATAAAGAGCAAAGTGCACCTACAACACAACAATGGTGTTTTTCTTGTTCCCTTTCCCCTCAACAGAGCAGCCCCCCCCCCCCGATCTGTATCTTAATCATCTCATCCCTCGCAGGGACCCATAAGGAACTTTCTCTCTTCTCCTCTTAGACGGACTTCCCTAAAAACTTAACAGACGGGCGTGACAAAAAGAAGAAGTGTGTGCAGGTAGGAAGTAAGAAAAGGCTGGCATTCGATGCCTCGCGGCAAGCGTACCTGAAAAACACCTTTCGACAATCGAACAAAGCGCTTTACATAAAGACAGACAGGCTTGAAGGTTTGAAGACGACACGCAGCGGGATCAAAAGACCAGATAGAAGAGAGGAAGTAAATGTAAAGGAAAATAGAAGCGAGTGCAGAAAGAACTAGAGAAATTGCATTTCTTGAGAAAATGCAGTGTGAATGGTTGTTACAGAAGAACTTGCTGTAAAGCAGCTTAAAATAGCTAACAACATGCTGAAATGGATGAACAAGTCTAACTTAGCGGAAGAAAGCAGAAAGAACACATTTTTGCTGAATTAGGTTTAAATAAGCAACAATGAGCACAAAAATTTGGAAATTAGCTAAAAAAAAAAAAAAAAGCAGAAATTAGCCAACAAAATTGCTGAAAGTAGCTGAAAAGGCAAAAAGAAATTTAAACTACTAGATGGAAGGAGAAGGAGTTGAAAATCATTCAACCTTTATTTATACAGGTTAGTTCCATTAAGCCTTGTGGACTCATTTATAAGAGACCTAAAATTAGCTCTAAGAATGTTGAATTAGCTGAAAAAGCTAAATTTAGCATAAAAACAGCTAAGTAGTAGCTGAAATATCAGAAAAGGCTGAACCAAGCAGAAATAAGCTGAAAGGAGCATACCAAGCTGAAATTAGCATAAAGAATTGAATTAGGTTGGAAGTAGCAGAAATTACCATGAAAAACTTCAATTAATCTAAAAACAGCTTAAATTAGCAACAAAAAAATGCTAAAAATGTAGCTGAAAAGGTAGAACTGGCTTAAATTAGCAGAAGAAACAACAACAAAAAAATAACATGTTTGCCCAATTAGGCTGAAAGAAAAAGAAATGGGCACAAAAATTATCAGAAAAAAGCTGAAATTAGCTAAAGAACAGCTGAAATTAGCTGCAAATAGCTGAAAACATTTTAAAATTGCAGAAGGAAACTGAAAGAAGTTGAACCAGAACAAAATGTGAAAGGAGCAGTAAAAAGTTGTAAACAGATCTAAAGATTTGAATAAGGTAAAATGAGCTCAATTCATTTTGTAGGAGAAGCAAAATGGCAGAAAAGGCTAAATATTTCAAAAAGCTAAAGTTGCACCAACAACAAAAGTCAAAGCAGGACTGTCCTGAAAGAGCTGAACATTTTGATTTAAGATTTGTCGAAACATCGGTAGCTTGAAAACTGCGGGACGAGAATCGCACCGAATTACACACGGAAGAAAAATGGATGATGATCGTGTGAATGTTTCTGAGAGAGACAAAAAAAAAAGTGTTCTGGGAGTTTGCTCAGGATTTGTGGGGCACAAACCAATTTTAAACACAACTTCTTCTCATACCCATCCAGACTGAGGATGTGCGTTGACTCGTTTCCCCATTTCTGGCTGTAAATTATTTTTTTCTGATCGTTAACCCCCCCCCAAAAAAGGTCCGACTCAGTGATTGGCTCTGTGCAACGACATTGTAACAACTGCAGGCAAACACAAACTTATTGTGGCTCTGCCTAAATACAGATGTCTGCTTGAAGCTATTTCACGAGCAGAAGAGATAGCTGCTGCAACCAAATCATTTTTTATTTAGAACATCCCTGGAACGAAGCCGTTACGTGTCTTAATTGCGTGATACGAGTTAGTCGTATAATAAAGCAGAAGTGCTGTCATATTATATCTTCCTTGAAAGGCCTTTGAAAACAATGAAACGACAGCTCGGTGTCAAAAGGGGAACTAAACCTTATCTTCCTATAGATCGTGCATGACTGGTCACGTCAAGGGATCACAAAACAAAGACGACCGAGTCCTCAGCAACAGCCAGAGAGGAAGAAAACTAAATTTCCCTTTTCTTGGACGATCAAGACAATCGCTTTTAAATGTGCTTCCTTTTAAAGAGAACAATAAACGTTTCCCATTTCTGCTTAAAGTAGGTCGCGCCACAGAAAACAGATCTTTTTTTTTTTCGCCTTATCAGCGAACAAAACATTAACCATCTGATGTTTATTAGTAATAAGACAGTGAGAAAATAAATAAGCACAAGTGCAGGATAAACAGATTAATACCACGTCACCATATTTTCCAAGTACACACTCGTGTTTTTTTTTTTTTTGGGTGTGAATACGTGCGTTTTAAAAACATGCTGTCCTCCTTTTAACGCACACACCCTCACATGCACGCGCACGCACACACAGGCGCGTTCAGTCGCAGCAGGCCCCCTGCTAGGTTTCTGGCAAACAGTCATAAATCTGTCATCAGGAATGAAGTCATCGCTAGAGCTGACCCTGTCTGGATAAACAGCCATGTGTAACAAGGGCAGCAGAGACGCACACTCTAACCTCTGCGTTAGTGCGTGTTCCCGTGCACTCACGTCAAACGGCATGTCCAAGAATGTGAGGATGGAAAACTAAAACATAGCGACAAATAAAAATGTATTAAAAAAGTGATGTTTTATGTGAATTTAACATAAGAATGAGCAGAATGGGAAACAATATATATAAAGTGGGTGCTTTGTTTCACAGCAGCCCAACACACACTCTACTGGAAGCTGCTGTGCATTACACCCATTCATCCACATGGGATCAAGTGTTATTTAATGATCAGGACATTTCACATCTGGGCTGAGATCGGTTCGGTTCTTGTTCAGTTCAGGGTGGAGAAGTTTCTTTCCTCTTTCAAAGTTTTTTTTTTTTTTTTTTTTTACTTTAAGTACTTTTAATTCATGATACTGTATGTGGAAGGTAACAGTGAAAATCCAAACAAATGTGATTTAAACTGCATCACAAGTCAAACTGAAAACCCACATTTTTTACTTATTTTGTTTAATTAGAGTCATTTTAGCAGAGAAGCATCTTAGTCTGTGGCTTGTGAGACAAATCATAGTTTAGAAACCGCAGAACAAATTGAACAGTAGAAATGTCTGCTGAGCACTTTTTTAAACCGCACAAATCACAAACAGTCCCATCGTGTCGCTTTAGGTGCTGCCTCCAAACATATACGCCTCAAAACGCCCGACTGCTAAAAGAAAGCTCTTCAACCAGTTGTTGCAGAGGGAATCAAATTAAACACTTTGAATATTATAAGAGATACTGCGCCGCTTTCCAAACACAAGGAGGCTTCAAAGAGAAATTAAGAGAGGATAAATGATGAAAGAATATCTCAATGTAACAAGTGTAGAAGAGGGACTGAGTGTGAGGGTCATTGTGCACGTCTCTTGGTGAATGCAGCGTTTTTAATTAGCAGTATATATATACGAGAGAATGAGATTAAATACCATCCATATGCTCCACGCATGATCATAAAGGAAACAAACAGCGTGCATGCACACACATACACAAGGAAGTGAAGCTGCAGGCGAGCAGCAGTTTGTTTTAGGCAGCTTTAAACCAGCATGCCAGAGCTGCCACAAGTCAGCTGGGCGCGTGACACGGAGCTGAGTGTAGCATAATACCGCCCTCTACAGGAAAACAGCACAACTGCAAGAAGAGCCAGCGTCTCAAAAGTGAGGAAGAATGCTGCAAATGAATTTTTTTTTTTTTTTACTTTTAGCTTTTTATTACTGCTTACGCATGATACATTATAATCACTCACGTAGTAGATACTTTGGAGTGAGGAAAACAGTATTTGTTTGTATTGAAAGCTGATTAAGTGATACTACATGTATGTTCAATAGTAAAAACAAACAAAGTGCAGCTTACATCAAGGCTGGGGTCTGCAATCTGCGGCTCTGGAGCCACTTTTTGGTCCCTCTGCAGTGGCTCTAAGTTTTGACCAAACCTAACATAAAACTGAAGTTTAGTGGTTGCTGCACCAACAACAGGAAACAGCTAATAGTTTTCTGGTCATTTCTTTTGCCAACATGTGAAAGATAGTATTAACACAAGGAGTAAAACTTGTTGATTACATCATGCTAGTAGTTTGTTAGCCACTTCTTTTAGCTCACTTCCAGTCTAACGGTGTGATCTTTTTCTCAAATCCACCAAATGTTTTGGGGAGGCAAGTTGCTGAGAAGAAATATGGTGAGTCAACTTGATAATAAAAATTAAAGAAAGAAACAAAGTCAAAGTAAATGGAAGCATTTATTTTCATTTAACAATTCAATTACATCCCTAACAAACTGGCCTAATTTTTTACTTTATGCTCTATTACTTCATAATTTATTTATTTCTTCTTCTTTCGGCTGCTCCCTTCACAGCGAACTAACTCGCACAAAGACTTGGCAATTTCTTTTACGTCGGATGTTCTTCCTGACGCAACCACAGACACCGAGCTACCACAGCCCTCGGTGTGGAGCACAGAGCTGCTATCTAGGGTGCCTGGGGGAGCAGATGGTGGGGGTTAAGGGCCTTGCTCAAGTGCCCAGAGTGGGACAAAAGACTGTGGAGACAGGTGTGGGTGCTTCACCTAGCCCACCCACATTTTGATGTTGTCGGTACGGGGAGTTGAACCAGTGATCTTCTGATCGCAGGCCCACCTTCAACAACCTCTGCGCCACCACTCCCTTGTGGTGTGCTTTATGCTTTATTACTTCATAATATGATACTTTATGAATTGTTTCCACAATGAAAAATAAAACTCACATAAACCTGCATACTTGTGTTGGAATTTTTATAAAATTGGTTTAAAACTTTTTTTTAACCGGTATATATTTTTTTCTCCTTCACATAAATCCAGTCTTTTCTTTTGCCTTAAAATTTAAAAATATAAACAATTTTTTTTTAAATTATATTATTATATAAATCATAATATATAATAAAATAATATATAATTATTAATTACAATATTTTTTATATAGAAATAATTATTATATATAACAATTTAAAAGATCTTCTTTACATAAATCCAGTCTTTTTTGGGCCCTAAAATTTAAAAATATTAATAAATATTAATAAAAATTATATTATTATATAAATAATAATATATAATTAAATAATATATCATTATTAGTTATAATAGTTTCTATATATATAAATAATACAATAATTATTGTATAAATAATAATGATAAAAAATCTTCTTTACATAAATCCAGTCTTTCTTTTTGCCCTAAAATTAAAAAAATATAAATAAATATTAATAATAATTTGATATTTTAGTTTCATAATATCACACCTACTGGCTGGAAAATCCCCCTTCCAAATGGCTTGAAGTGGGCCATGGGCCACCAGTTGATAATCACAGTTTCAGCTGGTTTTGCGGCTCCAGAGATTTTATTTAGTGTGCAAAGGGGCACAACAGGCTCTTTTGATCATAAAGGTTGCAGCCCCCTGCTTTAGGGTGTTGGAAGTTATAGGACACAAGTTTTTCTCTGAAAAGATGAGACGTTAAAAGTTTCATACAGAAATCTGTAGCTTCTACCATCATTTTGGCCAAATATGCAAATGTTTTTGTTTAGTTTGAAGAGATTCAAAACCATATTGAAACAGCTCTTTAACGTGTAGTTCAGTTCGTTTCAATAGATCCTGTGTTGATTTTAAATGTATTCCATGCACAAGTGAGGGTTATTCATTTATTTTCTAATAATAATGATATTTTGGAATCAATTACTCATCATGTTTTCCATGTTTATCTTCAAACTCTTAAAATAAAAAAGTCCAAATCCTCACTTCAACTTTGCATTTTGAAATTTAGTTTCTAATCTGTTATGGTCTCCTACAGAACTAAAATTATAGCAACTTGTTCACTTAAAATATAATTTGATCCTTTATTAAGTCAATTAAAAAAAAAAATCTCACTGTCCATTATCTCCAAACGTACACCCACTGCCGACATGTTATTTATTTTGTTTCTCTCTCATACGCCAAAGACTTTAGTAAAACAGAAATATGCACAGGCTTAGGCTAAGTAAAAAAAAAAGACATGAAAGCTAAAAACCAAACTTTACACAAATCTGAGAAAAATAGAAATACAAAAATGGTTTTTTTTTTTTTAATTTTAAATAAATAATCTGAACAAAAGTTTATATTTATCAATATTCTAAAAATAAACAAAGTTCACGTGACTTGAAAAATATCAGTGTTGGGTTTGCAAACACGGGTTTATTTCAGTCTGGTCTGTTCGAGTCCCATAACAGAAGAGAGGTTTCGGGCCCGGGCTCATGGTTTGTGTTAATGCTATTGAAAAGAAGCCCCTAAAGAATGAAAACATAATAAATGAGGTGTGTTCAAATGTTTGTGCGAGTCTCACCTGGTGCACAGTACATATTGGTAATTGCGTCTTTGCTGCAGGACTCCTCCACATCATACCAGCTACAGAAGAACGTGAGCTGAATGTGACCTAATGTGAGAAAAAAGATAAAGCACATTTATCAAACTTTCATGATGCCGTCCGTAAAACCAGCTCTGGTGTCACTCATATTGAACTTTCCCTGATCGTCCTCCTTTGGAGCACTTCCTTCCTCCTTTCCCTTCCGCCTCTTTAAGTCCCTTTGCGAGCTTTTCAAGCAAACAGCCTCGGCGATTACTCCTGTTTAGCGGCTACCCGTTAACGCTATCATTAGAACTAATGGTGTCATTAGGTAGCCGTAGCCATTAGCCTCAGCTAGCCAGACTGATGCACCACACTAGGCCGTTGATGGGCCCTTTAGAACAATAATTACCACCAGGGAGACGAAAACAGCCACTCAGCTAATTAGACGCTTGTTGATAATGAGGTGGAGAGAGATGATTGTAGGACGACAAAAGAAGTTGTTGAGGGGGAATCTGACATCATGGTAAGAGAACAATTTTCCTTCTAGAGGAGCCTCCGCCCTGGTAAACAAATTTATGAATGGAGGATCAAGGCTGATCTTTCACTCAAACGTGTGTAACTTAAAGAATGTTCACTCAGGTCACCTGGATGTTTTTTTTTTTTTTGCTGAGATGTTTCGTCCTTCATCCAAAGGACTTCATCAGTCCGAGGAGCCACAAACAAACTGGAGTCCCATAAGCAGCACACTCCCATAGTGGGGAAAAAAAACAGTTTGCTGGTGATAAGATAGTTTCTGGGGCCCTCCCTCTCCCCCGTCAACTCCTCTGAGGCAGCCTTGCCTTTGAACATTGTTGGATTTGTACCTGGATTATTGAGCATGAACTTTGTTTTTCTGAACCATTTTGGCAAGGCTGCTTGAAAGGGGTTGACGGGGAAGGGGGCGAGCCCCAGAAACCATCTTATCCCCAGCAAACTGTTTTTTTTACCCCACTGTGGAAGTGTGGTGCTTGTGGGACTCGTTTGTTTTGGGCTCCTCGGACTTAAGAAGTCCTTTGGACGAAGGACGAAACGTCTCAGCAAAAAAAAAAAAAAACTGTCCAGATGACCTGACTGAACTTTGTTGGATTTGTACCTGGATTATTGAGCATGAACTTTGATGTGTAACTTCACTTTGATAGATATATTTTTTCTCTTTAATTTACTCATTGATTGTTGTTGTTGTTAAGCACTTAGAGAACAGGTTCTGTTTTAAATGTGCTCTATAAATAAAGTTGACTTGACTTGACTTCATACGAACAAAATAAAGTACTTTTTGTAAAATACTACACATTTGCTGTGATTTAAAAAAAAATTGCCTCAAAGCTGAGAAACAGTTTAAACTAAGGATGCACAATATTATCGCCATGGTATCAGCCGATAGTAGCGTTAAATTTCAATATCAGACATCGTCCATTCCATCAAAATAACTCACCGATATAAAAGGCGCTGTTTTTGTATGACAACCCAGTGACAAGGATGCCTGCAGCAGCAGCACAACGTGATGACGTCACGCGTGCCTACCTGATCTGATCACGGCGGAGAGAAAGAAGTTAAAATGTCGGTGGTGTGAAAGTTTTTTTTCCATTGAGGATGTCGGATTCTGAGGATTTCTGGACTACGTTGAGCCTCGCTACATCGTCCCCAGTCAGAGATATTTTTCCAACGTAACCTTACCAGAGTTACAAGCCGTCATTTCCGACGCCATTGAGAAGCTAATAGCCGATATAGCACTTGGATGAGTTTTACCACAGACATTTGGACGTCGTGTTAGCCCTGTTAGCATGATTAGTCTTACGGCACAATGGATAGACAAAAACTTTGAACTTAAAAAGGCTGTCCTTCATGCACAAGAGTGCAGAGGATCCCACACTGCAGCTAGGAACCTGGAACAAGCCTCCACAAGTGAGACAGCATTGCAGGTGACTAATGCTAATAAATAACATTTAACACTTTTCATTTAATATAAGTTAAAGTGCTATGCATATCATATGGCTGTTATTGAATATATGTCACCAGCTCTTATAGCTGTTACACAGTTTTTGTAGCAAATAAGCCTAAATAAGAGAGCTACATTCTGTCAAAGGAAAGTATATACAAAATATTGGTATTGGTTATCGACCAAATAAGTTTTACCGGTAATATATCAGCATATCGGATATCGGCCAAAAATCCAATATCGTGCATCTCTAGTTTAAATGCATTTTCATCACAGTTCTCTGTAGTTTACAATTTTATATCTGCCATGAGAAATAAATCCTTCAAGGATTTACAGTACCTTTTAGAAATTAAAGACAAATTCATCTCTTCATATAGGAAATTACAAACAGCAAAAAAATAAACACCAGCCACATCAGAAAAGAGCATGCAAAAGCTTAACAGGTAGAACTTCTCAGTAAGTCTAACCTTGGTGGTCAAGCAGGATGTTATTAGGATTCAGATCCCGGCAGATGATGCCCTCTTGGTGGAGACGATCCAAGGCTGTCACCATCTCTACTGCCCAGCATCGAACAAACTCCTCCGGGATACGAGCTTGGGAGGCAGCCAGCGACAGCTCGTCCAGCTCCGCAAACAGCCGCGACACTTTTTTATCAAATTCGCTGCCACCTGTACTAATAATATCTCCTGTTGATTCACCATTGAGACCTAAGGAGCACTCAACGATTGCACTCGTCTGAGCCCCATCTACAGAGGGCGTGGCGTTGTCGCTGAGATTTGGAATCGAGTCTGTGTTGATTCCTGTGCAGTGCTTTAGTTTCTCGCTGTTACCCGAGTCAGCATTCATAATGTCCGTGTCAGGGGGAAGATCACTGTTTAGGCCTTCTGGGCGATCAAAAACTTTGGAAGAAGCCTCCTCCTGTTCAATCCCCAAGCTGTCGTCCCACAGTGAATTGAACGAAGCAGTTGCAGCACTAGTGTCACAAGTTGCAGAGGCTGTACAGAAAGATAAAAGCTCTCGTTCCAGTGGCTGCTCCTCTAGATCCTCAGGCTGGTTATGAAGCTGTAAAACATCCGGCTGGATACACTTCTGAGAAGAGTCTGTCACCTCAAGGCCCAGGCACACTCCTGAAGGCTTTATTTCTTCCTGTAAAGGGTCTACAGTCCCGCTAATTACAGGGAGATTCACCAACAAATCTGGTGGATGACCCTCATCCTCAGCTGCTGCCTCTTTAAATGAGATCACCGGCACCGACTCGTTGGAGCCTTTATCACTACTGTCCAACCCCCAAAACTCCAAGCCTGGGCCCTTCACCTCCTGAGCCAGCTCAGGAAGATCCTCTGTGACATCAGAGTCCAAACTGGATAAAGAAAATGGGAGGGCTTGCTTATGAGAAGGTCGGTGCTCCCCTACGTCGAAGCAGGCCACCTCACTTGCACTGTCTTTACTGTCAATGCGAAAAAATTCCATGGGAGTGCATTTAGACTGATCTAAAGAGAGAGGACCCACAGGGGGCGAAGGACTAAAGACTTCACTGTGGTCATGCTCTTCTTTACCACCATAATTATCATGGTCATGAGTGTGCCCACTTTTGTCAAACTCTGCGAAGAATCCGAGCTCCTGAGAACTCAGTGGTGAAGAAAGGCTGTCATTGCTAAGAAGTGAGCGGCTCCGTGAAGACATGGTTGCTGTTGTAGTAGGCACCTCCAACGAGAGCATTTCCTGCTCGCTCTTCTCGTCTTCCTCCTCTAGCGCATCCGGCTCTACTTTTTCTTGCTCGTACTCGTTGCAAAGAGTCAAATAACTGTTGGTGCACTCCTCCTCAGAGGTAGCGCCAGAGTCCGACTGAGCCCCAATTTGTTCAACGAGCCCAGGAGGGAGGGCACGTTTAAAAGAAGACACAAAGAGGTTTTCTTCTTCTTTTTTCTGTAGGTCTAACACAGACGCAGTAGGATTTGAATTAAAACTGGTAGAACCTACATCCAAATGTGGCATTGCATGTTGAGGAGAATGTACAGCTGTTGTGTGACTCTTCTGGATGAAAGGAATGTCAAAGCTCTCCTCTGGGCTGGAATTATGAAGGTACTTCCCAATGTGAGACCACAACTTTCCACCTGAAGACAAAAGAAGCAAAGCATTAACAACAAAAAGGGAGTGCACGATACAACAAAAATGGATAGAAGAACAAAAATTGTACCAATTCAAGACAACAGATGTCATCCACTAAACATATATATTTTTCATTGTATTTCATAACTTGCTTAATAAACAAAGAAAAAGAAAAAAGTAAATAACGGTAACAACAATAAGCACTGTTCAGATTAACACAGACCTAAATTTTATACGATAACCAGGTATTGAGTAGCAGCAATATTAACAAAAAGAAAAGATGGGTTTGTGATTTTAAAAATGGTTTCGACTTTCAAAACAATAAAAAAAACTAATCAAAATGGCTATTTCCTACCTGTGGGTGCAATAATGATCTCCTAACTAACTTGCTTTTATTCATTCAAACACAACAAGCCAATCAAGTTCTGTGATGATGTGGGCTTACACATTCGAAGACATCACTGTGTAACCAGTGCGGTCACAGCAGCACCACAGAAAAATCTGCTGCTCTAGCTGCCCCCACTTCATACATACCTACCAACTTGGCTCTGTGACTACTTTTCGCGGTATAAGTTACACCTTTTTGACTTATACAGTGAAGCGACGTGTTTTTTTTCCCATATTCATAACCCAGTTTTTGGATGAGATCTGACGATTTCATTCATTCCGACATGGAAAATATTGAACAGTAACATTTTCAGCCACTAGAGGGCCATCGACTCAAAAGGCAAGCCAAGTGGCTCATTAATAGGTAAAAATGGCTTTTAATGAGACACTTGGCTTATAATACCAAGCCACCTTCGTCTCTTTCCAGAACTCCTAGAGCAAACGTCAAATCAGCTGCATTTTGCCGCGCTGCCCAGGTGAAATGCAGCTGATTTGACCACTAAAGTTTATTTATTAAGGAAAAGTTCAACTGAGACACACTTTGATATAATGTCGAGCAAACAAATAATTGATTTTAGGTGGTTTTCTTATTAAATTTCGAAGAAATGCACAGCGAGTCCTCCATCTGTGCACTCCCACAGCCGCAAATCGATTTTTGAAAATGCAGCCGATTCGACCATCAAAGTACATTTATTAAGGAAAAGTTAAACTGAGACACACCTTTACTATAATTTCGAGCAAAGAAATAATTGTTTTTAAGTGTTAATCTTGTTAAATTCTTGTTAAAGACCTCCCGTGCACGCTCCCGCGACCGCCATTTGGCAGCCAATTGATTTTTGGCACAACACCGGCCCACGTTTCCGGGTGGTCAGTGGTGACGCATAATAGATGCGACGAATACGGCGAAGCGGCGTATTTACGTTTTTTCCACTTTATTAGGCATATTTGGACTGATGTGACTTATACGGTGGTGCGACGTGTATGGTGGCAAATATGGTACCATTAACATTAGAAGATAATGCATTAAAGTAGTAAAATGTATTGCCCCAAAGACAAGCTGGAGATCTTGTGGAGTAAAAGTGAATTTGGGAAGCTGTGCAAAATCCCCATTTGTGCTGCTGGTAACTGAAAATAGCCAGAGAACACTTGGCAGTGTTTCACTGAAATACATCTCACTTTTCAGTAAATGAAAACATCGCATCTCAAAGACTTGGCCACAGTTGCGCACGCAGAACCTGCAGAAACACACACAGCTGTAAAGTGAGCAATTAGAATCCAGCATCTGTTGTGTGTGATGAGAATGAATCGGGAGTTTGCAGTGATGATAATGACAGCGGGGCAGCTCGATGGCTTAGAAAGTAAAACCATCAACATGTTGTTGTGGCCAATGTCACCCAGGTCACTGCCTCCCTTTGTCTGCCTGTCTATTCTCATTCAGTCCATCAACTTCTTGCATGTAAAAAGAAGCTTACAGTATTACAGGCGGAAGGGACTCTGAATCACACAGCTGGGTTGTATACCCTCAATGAAACGTTTTTTTTTTAATAGAAATAACATTTAAGTATATGTATACTCTGTTACTCAACAGCTCTGAATTAAATTCAAAACTTGCCTCTACATAAATGTAAGGTGGTTTTGGAGAACATCAGACTGAACAGGTTACAGGGCTGTAAAAAATGGCTGCCTTTCACTGTACGCAGTCACCCACGCACATGGCCTACAGACACATCCTAGAGTGAGTAGGATGTAAGGAGGCCCAGGTGTTGGTGCAGCTAATGAAGCATGGCACCACCTGGCATTCAGAATAATGACCTGTGACACACACCCATCTCAATAAAACATCTGTGTGAAACAAGGGCACAAAGAGGGATCTGGTGAATGGGAGGGGAAACAAGCTAAGAAGATAAAAGAGCAGAAAAAATAAACAGATGAGAAAATTGGTCTCTCTTACAAGGGGTGCACCAAAATCTAGAGACGAAGTCGGATGATTTTAAGCGTGACTGACGTAACTGGCTGATTTGACACTCCAAAACGGATTGTCCCTCTCCATTCAGCAAACACACCGTAGCAAAGCGCCTCATGTTTAGGGGTCTGAGAGCACGCATTTGCTAAGCAGATAATTAGCAGTAGCAATAGTGCTCAGTGTTCTTAAAAATCGGAAGCGGTTCAAATAAAAATTGGCAGGTCAGAGCTTCACATAAAATGTTAACTGGAATCAACCTGGAAAACTGTGATCGGTACATCTTTATCTCTTACCTTCAGCATACTGCAGCAGAAGAAAAACAGTGTCTTCAGAGATGATGAACTTTCTCAGCTGCACCATGTGGGGCACAGAGTGAGGCATGATGTTCTTCTTCACCTGCCCACAGTCACTGCTCTTCCTTAGACCCTGTGAAAGGAAAACAATCAATAATGAAAATTAAAGATAACCGGAAAACGGATTAACACAAAATTAACAAAATTAGACAAGAAAACTAGAGGGACTGGACAAAAAGAAGGTGAGAAGCTAAGGTTATTGTGACAGAGGAACAATCTTCTATTAAAGTAGCAGTTATCCCTTTTGGCAACCCAAAGTCACTGAATTCATCAAGCTATATTTGGCACATAACTTTAACAGAGCCACACAAATCTATCAGCTCCACACACCAAGTTCACATTGGATGTCTAAGTGTATGGATAAGCATGCATGTCTGTGTAGTCATCTGCGCCGGGGCTGTGCGTTAGCATCTGGCACACGTCTCACACCTGAGAGCAGAGGAGCTGACAGAGACAGGCCCATTAGAATCAATTACAGTCACACACGGGGACTCCTGGCACCATTTACACCAACAGTCTGAACAACAAGGAGGCAGGGCAACACACATACAAATTACACTTACTTTGAGGATGAACGTCTCGTGAGTTCTCTTGTCCATGACCAGAAGAACCTGCCGTGGAATGATGCCATTAATTGTTAGGTATGAATAAGTGGTCTAAGATTACACAGTAGTTGTTTCCTCTAAAGCAGTATTTTTCAGTGACAGAACGGTCACTGCTTGTTCACAAATTATAGCTGAAAACTGGTTGTTGTCCAAAACAATAACAAAAACTAAAGGGGGATCTAAATAGTTCTATAAGCCTGTATACTAGTAGCAGGTTTTACATTAGTTACCATTCATTAAGGTATTTTTTTATATCTTTTTACACACAGAGTAGATTTAAACATGGAAAATAACTGGCAAATTACTAATAAATCAAGGTTCAAGGTTCTTTATTGTCATTCGCGTCGCATGTGGTGCATGAAGTGGATCGAAATTGTGTACTTCTGAAGGCCCCAGTTACACCCCAAAATAGCAAAAATATAAAGTATTAAAAAAGAAACAGTACACAAGGATCTAAGATATACGCTAACTCAGGGGTTCTCAAACTTTTTGGGTTCAGGGACCACTTACAGGGGAGACAAAGTTTCAGGAACCTCCTCATAACTCTCATGTTTATTAAATAATTTTCTTCAGCTTGTCTCTTTAAGGCAATGGAAATATTTGTGTATCATAAATACTTAAGACCTGTTCTTTAATAGTATTAATACATTTTTTATACTTTTAAACATGGGGTGTTTTACAGTTAAGACACACTTAATTAACAAAGTTGGTTTTTTTTTCCAACTTCCAAAAATTAGTTTTGCAAAAATTATCAGTATTAAAAAAAACACTTTGAAACTTTACTTATTCACATAACGAACATAAATGTAACGCCACTTCTTCAAATTATTACAGAAAACTCTTTACATAAAACTGAACAGAATCATAAAAGCAGTAGTCAGACCAAGTAACAGGGCTTGATTTGTAAAACAGTCGATGCTGGAAAGCAAATAAAGGGTGGGGGTGGGGGTCTAGAGGTCCTCCCCCAGAAAAATTTGAATAAAGTAGATGTGATTTCCTGCATTTTGGTGTATTTTAACAAGATGTTAAACATCTACGTGCTTATTACTAAAAGAAAAAAATTGGGGCGGACACCCAAACACCGGCTCGCGGACCCCCATGGGTCCGGGGACCTCAGTTTGAGAACCACTGCTCTAAACGATAATAATGTAATATAATATGGTGTATTAAACAGCAGCCTGAACATTTAACTGTGAACTGGAATCCATAAAACAATCAAACAAAATGTTCATTCATTTTTCCTAAGCTCTTAAGCTTTTTTGTTTTGGAGCTCCCACAGAGTGGTGCAATATATCAGTGTGTCCTCACTAAATCAGTTTCCTCTCTAAATCATCCAAAAGCACACAAATTACAAAAACGTAGCTCCTACCATTTATCATTTCACTTTCCTGCACTTTTTTTTTGTTCTTTGCTCCTTCCGCCCCCACAAACATCTTAATTTCCTCCCTTCATCAGCCCTCCTTTTCTCTCCCTGACATCTCCATTGCTCTTCTGGTCTCTCACTTATCTCAGGGGAGCGCTTGAAGCATATGTGTGTGACCTGGTGTGCGTTTGTGTTTATTCTGCTGCGTGCGTTGTGGGTGTGCGACCCTGACTGGGACCAAACAGGTGCAGGCTAAATGGATATGAATGGAGCTGTGAGTAAACAGAGTGTCGGTGCTAGCCAGGGTGCTAATATAATTAAGAAGCAAACATCAGGGAAGAGGGGGGAGGCAGAGAGAAGGGGCATGGGGAGCAGTAGGGTGAGGAACTTTTGCCATCTGTCCCTCTCTGTCCTTGTTTAAACTAAAAACGGGAAGTAAAACGAGAAGAGGAAGACCAGGCTCTTGCTGGATACTTTATTTTATCGCTAAGTGTGAGCAGTTTTTGTATTGCCGTGTATTTTGCACCCACCTCGATGGAATAACACGCGTTGGTATTGAGTCAAAGTTCTCCTTTGGGTTTTCTGTATATGTGTGTGTGTGAAGGATGAGTATCATAGATTCAATGTTGTGTGTCATTCTCTGAGTGGCGTGCCAAGTCATTTCATGGCTGAGTGGCGAAGTTGCTTCGCCGGCAGCTGTTTGAGAGGACCGGAAACCCAAACTGACCTTGTGGTAGTCATAACTGACGCTAAACATACACACACTCAGGCCTTGCCATACATCTAGTAAATCTATTACGCTTTATTGCCTCGGATAAGAGAGATGGTGGAAGGTAGAAAGGACACGACGAGGAGAAATTCCAGGATGGATACGATCCACGTTCTGAGTCGGGCTTAGGACAAAATAAATGGAGGTCAACTCGACCTGACCGCTACCAGCTGAAGGGAAACTCTTACATTCAATCACTGTGTTTCAAAGGCTAATTGACATTCTGTATTAACTTGAATCTAAAAAAAGGCTAATATTACCCCATAAAAGAACATTAAAAATAAATGGAAGTAAGCAGTTGCTGAATGAAAAGATTTAAAATGTCAAATTTACCTTATCTACGACCCCTATCACTCTGTACGCCATCAGCTCATCAAATGAACTCTGCTGCCCTCCTCTGCTCATAGATGAGCAGCACTGAGCCCCCAAGGCCTTAGGGAAAACAAATTCAACACATAATGTAACAAATTGAATGCATTTGAAAACCAGAGTGAATAAAGTATAGATAATACTGGACAGCAGCATTTCTCTCCCACTCACCACAGTTTGTGTTGATCCTTGACCCATGTTGCTTCTCAGATGACGACTGGATATTTGTTCGGCTCGCATCAGATATTCAGCCGTCTTTTTCTTCACTGCCTCTCGCCTAGCTGCACTTGGTTCACCTTAAAAAAAAAAAAGTGTGAATGAAATCAGTGAGCTGTCATCACATATCTGTATTTTGAAGTGTTATTATTTAAGAAATGACGATACCATTAATCTGTCAATCAAGAACAAATAAGTGATATTATTATGGTTTAACATGGGAGGGGGGGAGGTAGTTTCACACAAAGGGAGTACCAGTACTTCATATAAGCAAAATGTATGTTTGAATGCAGTACATACACGGCTACACGTATGGTCCTGGTAGGCATGGTTACCATAAATCTTTAGACTAACATGTTAAAAGGCAGCACTTTCAAAGTCAGTGTCATCAATGGGTCGTGGAGGTTTTTAAATATGTTTTTTGTGCTTAACTAAAAAATAAAGTTTTCCACTTTATTTTTTTTTTATCTTTTAAAACAACGGTTACTAGAGTTGGGGTCACAACCTCATTTTGGGTCATAACACAACAAACCAAGGGTCTTAAGATGCTTTTCGGAAAAAAATAATTAAATAATTGCGATAATTGTAAAAATAAAAAAAGAGCAGTCATAAATAGATGGGGGAGTGGTGGAGCAGAGGTTAGAGAAGGTGGGCCTGTGATCGGAAGGTCGCCGGTTCAACTCCCCGGATCAGCAACATAAAAATGTGGGTGGAAAAGGTGAAACACTCACACCTTCCTCCAACCTCATTTGCCCCACTCTGGGCCCATGAGCAAGGCCCTCAACCACCACCATCTGCTCCCTGGGTGTCTTAGATGGCAGCCTACTGCTTCATGTGAGTGTATGTGCAATGGGAAAATGCAGACTCCATCCCCCCATTGGGAATTAATAGAGCACAATAGATAATAGGGATGCATGATATATCGGCATGGTATCGGACGATATTAACGTTAAAAAGTTTAGTTCATAGTTCAGACATAGGCAATTCCATCAAAATAACTCACAAATATAAAAAATACGCTGTTTTGTGTGACAACCCAGTGACAAGGATGTCTGCAGCGCCAGCACATCGTGATGACGTAACGCGTACCTACCTGATCTGATCACGGCGGAGAGGAAAAAGTCAAAATGTCGACGGTGTGCAAGTTGTGTTTTTTCATTGAGGATATCGGATTCCGAAGATTTTTGGATTATGTTGAGCCTCGCTACATCGTCTCCAGTCAGAGATATTTTTCCGACATAGCCTTACCCCGAGTTACGTCATTGAGAAGCTAATAGCTGATAGCGCTTGGGTGAGTTTTACCACAGACATTTGGACGTCGTGTTAGCCTCGTTAGCATGATTAGTCTTACGGTACAATGGAGAGACAAAAACTTTGAACTTAAAAAGGCTGACCTTCATGCACAAGAGTGCAGAGGATCCCACACTGCAGCTAGGAACCTGGAACAAGCCTCCACAAGTGAGACAGCATCGCAGGTGACTAATGCTAATAAATAACATTTAACACTTTTCATTTAATATAAGTTAAAGTGCTATGCATATGGCCATTACTGAATATATGTCACCAGCTCTTACAGCTGTTGCATAAATTTTGTAGCAAATAAGCGGCAATGTTCTGACAAAAGAGAGTATATAAAAAAATCGATATTGGTTATCAGCCAAATAAGTTTGAATATATCAGCATATCGGCCAAAAATCCAATATCATGCATCCCTAATAGATAAGACGCTCTAATATGTAGTTATGGAGGCTCTTTGTGCTGTCATTTTATTCTTTATACTTTGTAGTAAATGTATTTTTAAGTTTCTGCTGCTGTTATTTTGTGGGTCAGAAGCTTAAAGGTTTGCAAACAAAAGCTTTAAATTAAACTAAAGAAATTGGGGGCGGCTCATAACTTTTGCACAGAACTGTAAGAGGAAGAAAGAAAGTGTTATGTGTTTTCATCATTGTATGTTCCCATACAATGGCGAAATTAGCTCTCTGCATTTAACCCATCACACGAGATACACCCAGGTGGAGCAGTGGGCAGCTATGCAAGAACCCGGGGAACAGTTAGGGATTAGGTGTCTTGCTCAGCAACATCATGACGTGGGAATGGTGGGGAGTCGAAGCAAGACTTTTTGTTCCCAAGTCGGCTGCCCTACCCTCTACCCCAAGTAGCTGTCAGGCAGAAATATCTGACCCATATATTGAAGTTACTCTCTGACCTTGTACTCCTTGCAGCAGCAAGTCGACCCCACTGCGATAGTATGAAAAAGCTGCCTGGTAGTCCTGCTCGTTTTCTTTCTGTACTGCAAAACCGATGAGCTCGCTGGCTTTGTCCAAGTAGTCCAACTTTACGTCCTTAGAGCTGCCACCGCTGGCTCTCCTCAGACCGCTGGAGAGCAGCGACGTTCGACCCGACCAGCTGACCTCTAGGTTAGGGGCTGAGGAAGCAGGGACAGGGGCAGGTGATGGGGTGCTGCGTTCAAGCAGGGAAGACAAGTGAGGGCTGCAGCTGCTAATGTTGGTGGCTCCCCCCTGTGGCTGGTTTGGGGAGGTTCGACCTGAGGCCATGCCATCATCCAACTCAGCCAAAGAGTCTGTGTCCACCACCAGGGAGGTCAGGTCGCTGTCACTAGACGGGCCTGAGAAAGACAAGACCAGTAAATACACACAAACATGATCAAACTGTCATCAAAATAGAAAATGTAAACGGACAGATGCAAATTAGTTTGGTGCTGAAGAAAACATTACCTCCATATTCAGATGTAACAGTCAAATCCTCCGCACCACTGAGGTCTTTTTGAACTGAAAAACATGCCCACATATCTCTAAGTTAAACTGAAAAAGCATCGTTACACTTTAAAATGAGGTATTTTTAAATGGAGTTCTGTGGTACGGTTTCAAATAATGATCTTACCTGTTCTAGAAAGGTCTTTGACAAACACATTTAGGAGAAAGTTTAATTCTGACTGGACTGACACACTAGTCTGATTGAGAACACGACCAAAGAGAATTGCTGCTGCCTCACAACAGCTCCACTCTAAACAATTCACAGCAAACAATCGAAACCTGTACACCACCATCGGTGTTCCAGTACAGTTATGAGGTTCCTGATGGAGAGTCCGCAGCTAGCTGCTGCAATGCTAAATGTGTGCTTGTAAAGAACCACATCATTTTATATAAATAACATAACACAAAACTACAGTGGCCTAAAGGTTTATTAAACAGTGTTTGCATGAATCATGATTAAATTTTTTGGAGATTGAAATTATTTTCGAAGAAGCAATCTGGCAATCCTTTGGCGTTGGATCAGACTAGCCGTTAACTCTTCAATCCTGTCAGACGTAAACTTTTTTTTCAACTGGGGTCACTTAAATCTGAACTTTCCTTCAAAAGATTTGAACTACCGGTACTACATTAGGACAAGGACAAGTTTTATAAGAACTCCTACCATCTGAACTACAATCAGACAAACTGTCAGTCAGGAAGTCAGAAAAGGGCTCAGCTGGTCCAATGAGCTCCGAGCCGTCATGGACCTCACCTCCCTTAAAAAACAGGAAATAAAATACATAAAGAATGAAATCAGTAATAGGTATGTCGTGATGCTTGGATCTCTGCACAAATGACGGGATACCTTGAAGAAATCTTGGATGTGTTGACTATTATAGAGAGCAGGAATGTTTGCAGAGAACTGAAGGAGATCTTCAGAGCACTGTCTTCTTTCTTCAATCACTGACTTATCAAATCGGCCTATAGTTTGTGCACACAGATACAAACACACAAACAGATTTATTAATATTGAGCAAATAAAACAGTGCTGATCTGTCTCAAGGAGATCCTATCAACATAATTATAAAAAAAGGCACAAGTAATGGTTCTTTAGTTTAAAAAGTTAACTCAATTTATTTTATAGTTCTGAAATAAAACTGCTTCAAGAATCCAAAGACACCTAAAACAAACGGTGATGCTCGTATGCATGCTAGAATGACAGACGCTGATAAATTGTCCAACAAAAAGCACATTTTGCCCAACGTTGCCTATTGTTAAGATGGAAACTATATTTTCAATCATTTTAATTCAAACATAACGTAAAATTATTAGCAAGGTTGATATGAAAAAATGCCACGGTGCTCACATTCAACATCCTGTTCTATTTATCTATTTATATTTTTATTTTATAAGAGTACATGAGATTCATTTTGATTAGTGTTCATAAGAAATCAAAAGACACAATTATCTAGTTTATTTTTTATGAAAATCACAATAGTTTCATACCTTACAGACCTTTAAGAAAGCTGATTTCCGTATAATTTCAAAGAACTTCAAAAGTAATTTAGCCATTTTTGACACTTTCCTTAACAAAAACAGACAATTACTTAGCTTTGGAGCCATTATCTTATCTGAGGTCAGAGAAAGAACTGGGAAGGGTCTTACCAAAAACTTTGGCCTTAGGAAAAGGAGGAAACAACTCAGACTGGCTGCTTACATTCTTGTGCAGCTGCCAGAGATGCTGATGTAGCTTCCGGAAATCACTGTATCTCTTCCATACTGTTATCTATAAAGAGGGGAGGGTGTGGATAGAAACAGAGAGGAAACCAACTGAACACTGGAATCAACAAGTTAGCGTTTACCAATATATGAAGCATTTGTTTTGTTTATCCGACACAAAAACCAGCTTGTGACACTTGTTGCGACACCATCACATGACTGAAACTAAGATCTGAATCATCCAAACACAAAATACGCTTTCCTAAAGAATTTTAAAAAACATTTAAATGTTTTGGTAAATGCTTTTAAATATTAAAATACCACACAATTAAACTAAGCTAACACTTAAGTGCATGAATCAAAGCTCCTTCCTTTTTGCTAACTTGTGCAATTAAAAAAACTCAACACAAGCTGCAGAATAAGCTACGTAAATGCGATGATCTAACATACTCAAACTTACACTTCAACATATTGTGAGAAAACTCTCCCAGTAATGGAAGGATGTGCGCTCACAGAGGAAACTCCCTCGCTGGGACTCTTAACTGTAACGTAATTGGCATCACGCTGCTCGAATTAACTCGGAGTTTGTGCAACACAGCTTTTCTCTGTGCGTTTTAAAAGCATGTGGAGGATATACTACTCACTATAAGACATGTAATGACACATACGGGTGAATAAATGTAATTAAAATATTAAGCTGACAGATGTTTGGGGGAAACAGATGTTTTTATAACTGCAACAGAATGATATATATTTTTAGCTGCTAGCCAAAGATGACACACTTTTCTGAATAAATGCAGAAAAATAGACAATTTGCTTGTAATAATAACAATATTAATAACATAATTATTGTAAAATATACACATTTTGTCAGAAACAATAAAGTTGGTAAAAATCTAACTTTATTGTGGGTAAAGAAAAATATAAAGCCATAGAAAATTGTATTTTTTACTTCTGCTTTTGACGGTGTCTTACTCTGCTTCTTGACATTTCTTAAATAGATTCACTAAAATATGGCAGGTTGAAATACTTTAGGTGGGTCTCAGACACAGACAAAAAACAAATCTGACTAAACTCATGTCATGACATGAACTGAAGGTTTAAAAAAAAATTAAAGATGCATATAACAAACTATGGCTGTCTTACCTCTTGGACATCTTCTGGATTGTTCCTGGAGATTGTCTGTGAGGAAGAGATCAACAGAATTCAAGATCTTGAAAACTCCAGCGAAAACGTTTTTTTTTCTCCGCACAAACTATCATGGGAGATGCACTGTAGTCACAAAGAGAGTGGGAGGACATAACGGTCAGTGTCACGATGACCTCATTACAGACCAAATGACAAAAGTCTTGTTTGTTAGAATGGGACATCACCACAAGTCACGTTCATGAACTGGATTTGTGCTCATATATTCAATGAACTCAGTGACTTGGAAGTCTGACAAAAAGAATAAAGTATGTTTCATATATGGAGGTCATTTGACGTCAATCTGCGCATCGTCATATGTGGTTTCCTTCATTCAGTAAGGCAGTCTTAGAATGAAAATAGTGATTCAAGATGGACACTGCATTACAAGGCATGTATCACAAAGCAGGATTAGTAGTGACGTCACTTTAGGTTTATCGAGTGTTAAAAGTTTTTCAAACAAGTGTTTTGTTTGTTTTTTTACTTAGGTCCTATCACCACGGTAAGTTTAGCTGGAAATTAGGTTTGAGAGAACACAAAAACTTTGATGTGGACAGTCAGTCTTTAATTTCTATTATTTTTATAAATAATATCACTAGGGGCGCACCGATAAATCGGCTAACCGATTTCCTTAATTTTGAGTGATCTGCGATCGGCGGATACTTACATGAAACCAATTTTACAGACTTTTTGTAGTTTTAACAATTGTCTAAACTTCATTTACATGTCACAGCACCACCTCATGGCCAGTTAAACCAAGTTCGTATTGTTTGTTCCGAAGCACTAGAGCTTCAAACTTAGAATAAGATTTTGAAGTCGTGGATCAGGTCTCTCTTGTAAATGAGTCCTCGAGGCTCAATGGGATTTACCTGTATAAATAAAGGTTGATTGATTGGATTATTGGCATCTGTTTCCAAGATTTTCAATCAAACCCATAAATAAGAATTTACACAGGCATTCACAGATATGCTTTCATTTTAGTTTAAATTGTTGTTGTGTTAGTTTTTATTTGCTGAATTCCCCCAAGATGCTAATAAAATAAGAAGGTTAGTGCAAGACAACACCTTCAGAAAATTAAATGAGCAGAATACACACCTGTCAGTAGAACTAAACACCTGTACAGTTGGTAGCATTTTGTCAGGTTAGCTGCTTTATGTGACTAACCTAGTCACTAAAAGTAAGAAAATTTCACCCACATAAAGAAAATTTTCAAGATGTCCAACGGACAATCTGGTTGTTTGCCAAAGTTTTTGGTTGTCCGCAAACTTTACAATAAAAAAAGGCAAAAATTCTTAAGAAAAAATGTTGTTGTTTTTTTATAAATACATTGCACTATATACAAAGTTTACTACCAGGTATATAAAAATGTTCTCAGTCAGCCATCTAGTGGACTATTGTTATTTCCAAGCTACTGAGTGGCAGACTCAAAGGCTATTTTTCATATTTCATCATTTATTAAATTACATTTATCACAGTACTATTACTTCTCAGTACGTTTCTAAATGTAATTAAGTTTAGCCCATCCAAACAGCCAAAGAATCTTGTTGTTGTGTGTAGAATTAAATTTTGCAGATATTTTTAAAATAAAATACAAACACATGAAACTGACTCTCACAGAAACAACTTCATAAGTTTGGGGAGGAAATTAAATTTAAACGGGGACACATATTTGTTATAATCGGAGGCATATAATTATTGTTTTATGTTTTTAGCATTAACATTGTTTAATTATAAGAACTAAAGCAGCAGATGCTGCCTGTCTCACTGTGAGAGACACAAACAGGTCGAGCGAGCTCCCGCGGTGGTGCTGTTCCCTTTGGGGACCAGAAGTTTAGTCATGCACGAAAGTTGCATGATTGTATGATGATTATGATAACACTCAGAACACATTGTTGTTGTTTTTATGGTTGTCGTTTAGTTGTTTTGTACTTTTATCACAAAATATCCCCTGCAGCTGATAGGTAAAAGAGAATAAGTAAACAAGCAGAAAATACCAGCTTCCCTACAAACACCTGTGTCTACAAATCATGAGTCCACCATGTGTCCACTAATGATGGCCACAACTAAACGTTAGATTATGGCGGCACAGACGGGAGATGTCAGGGAATTTTTTGGCTTTTTGGTTATAGATGTTCTTATTATTATGGCTGAGAACATTCTTCCTCTCTGGCCTGAGAACAAGAAGCCCAAAACTAGCCAAACCATCTCGCACAACAATCTTATCTTTGCCCATGAATCATATGTTTGTGTAAACGAAGAGTGCTGTGTGAGAAGGCTGCTGCTGGCTTCCAAGGACACCCCCTGAACTATGTTGAACTCTGAGCTGAGACGGGTATAAAAGATGGCAGATAAGGCTTGTGGCATTTGTCTGTGACTGGTTTTCATGCGTATATACATCTATGAATGTTTATATATTTGTTATGTATGTAACCTGTCCTGAAATCTGATCTTGTAGTAAAATGCTATATAAATCTTCACCTGCCTTGAGAGAGGTTCTTTTGTGCAAACAACAGTAGTGAGAGATTTTATCCAACAGTAGAGCTGTCACCTCTAAGCAAGACGGTTGCTGGATTAAATCCCAAATTTATGTTCTCTCTGTGCATGCGTGGGTTTGCTCCGGGTACTCTGGTTTTCTCCCACAAACCAAAAACATGCATGTTAGACTGATTGGTGACTAAATTGTCCCTAGGTGTGAGTGAGTCTAATGGTTGTTTGTCTTGTTTGTCTCTATGCACCCTGCCTCTCACCATCAGTGACTCCCGCAACCCAAAAAGGTAGAAATGGGTAAAGATAATTCATGGCTGTAAACCTTTAGACATTTAAATTACCTACTAATACAAGCATGCATGCACACATACTCAAACAATCCCCCATGCAATATTTAACCTAATAAGCAAAGATTTTACATTGGGTTGTAACTTGTCATTAAGGGGTGATGGTGGGTCCTGAAGCCAGAGCAGAGTTGAGAACCTCTAGTTTAAACAAATGATTCTTAAGACCCCAGCATACTCCAACTGAAGTGCTGAAATCGGCTCTCATTGTCATAGTTGCTTGATGAAAAATGCATAATTTTGTTCACAGAGCAGTTTCGCCCGCCTCTTCTCGACACAAGTCCTTGACTGAACTTCTTCTCACAGGCGCGCCAAGGATTGTGCGATTGGTCAGAAGTTTGTCGGACTGTTCGTCAATGCGGAAAAGTGCTCGGACATTCAGCTGTATAACTCTTCAAAGACACTAAATTAGTCATATTGTCAAAACCTCCTGGATAGAGATCGTGCAGACATCGTGTATGGAGGAGTCTGTCTGCTGAAAAGTGTGATGCTTTCTTCATGATAGATTTGTGGATGCATGGATGGAGTGGAGAATCAGGCAGGAAGAAACCTGTGTGGTGACGTATACTATATTACAGCGGGACGGGTTTCCCAAGAGCTCTGCATCTGTCTTGTGGATTATGAAAGATGTGAGCGAAAACAAATGTCCCGCAACCACGTGGGCCATTTAACACAAAAACCACAAGATTCTGTGAGAGGAAACAACACTTTTGACATGAATTAAGTATGATTTCAAAGCTTTTTTTGGTTTTGTTTTATTTTTATACAACTGGGCAACCTTAGAGCAGCTCTAATTCAAAACCTAATAAAGATAGGCTTCTCATATCTGGACTGGATTACTAAATAGAGATTACAGTACATTAAACATAATTTATTACCTGGCTGGTAGATATTTATTTGATGTATAATATTTAAAATTAGAGCTATTAAAATGTTTCGTCGCATCTTTAGACCACAACAGGTCATTTACAAATCAAATATAGGTGGTTTTGGGGCAGCTGTGGTTTACTGGTTAGAGCAGTCATCCTCCAATGCAAGCGCTGGGGGTTCGATTCCACCACATGTCCAAGTGTCCCTGGGCAAGACACTGAACCCCTCATTGCCTCCGATGTTTGTCCCATTGGTGTATGAATGAGATAAAGCACTGATTATTCTTTGTATAGATATAATAAGAGTGCTGTATGAATGGGTAAATGAGGGCACAGCATCTTGATAAGATATAAAGGCACTATATACGTACAGTCCGTTTACCATTTTATTATGATAATCATTCAAAAAAATTAAAAGGCCTATTATGGCCTCTTAGCTCATTTAAGTATAAAACTTTACTCATTTAAAACCATGTTATTACATCATAAACCAACTGTTATTTTCTATGGCTGACTTTGTTTTAGATATTCATCATTAAAATTATTATATTCATCATTAACATTTCAGGTCTCTCTTGTAAATGAGTCCTCACGGTGGCTCAATGGGACTAACCTGTTTAAATAAAGGCTGAATGAAAAAAAAAAATCATACATTTTTGCCTGATTCAAATAAAAGGTTAAATTATTGCTACTGCCCTTATAATAACCCAGCGGTTTGCTAATGTTGTTCGAGTTTGAGCAAATGGAAAATTCACGATATTATTATAGCAATGTTTCCAAACTAAATCTGCGGCGTTTGCGTGATTTATCTCCACCGTCATCTCTGGGATACACTGCTGTTGTTTCCATCTACATTAGCTTAGCTAGCCACAGCTAGCTTCACACTAGCTGTCAAAGCGCCCAGCTTTCATGTACTTACTGTTGCCGTGACTTTGTACACCGTGTAGCCTTCCTTATGCCTTGTGGGATCCGTGACAGTGTAAAACCGAGCAAGATCTCCTCTGTCCCGCTGTGATATCATTCTGATAGTAACATTGCCGAAGCTACCAGCCAGGGGGCTAGCTGTTCACTTTCATTCTCTCGAATTACAGTCAGGCAGTAGTAAGAGCGCCCCTAGAGGAGAACTGTGGAACTGCAGCGCTTAAAGTCATGGTTGACGATTAACAGTAGATTATGACATTTTTTTTATTTCTTAACAGAAAAAATACTCGTTCAAAAAAATTAACAGATTATTTTATGATTTGTATACACATGAGTCTCTACAACTATTTTTTTACAAAACATGCAATAAAAAGAAATAACAGCGAATGCACCTGTGACACGTTTTCTGATATAAATGGAACATGAATAAACTACATTATATTGAAAATGTGTAAATTAGAACTGACCTACAGTGCTTCCTGGCTTACCACTCATAGCAAATATGTTTTTTTATAATTATTCAAATAAAATGAATGTTGAATGAAAAAAAAAAATCAATATCCAGAAGTGTTTAAAAACACATAATTGATTACTGTTTATGATGCAGAAGAACCTAAATTTAAACCCATGTTTATTTGTTCTAAAAGCTACAAATGCATCTATCTACTACAAAAAACAAAGCAACCCCATAGTTTAACAGTTCTACTTTCCCATCTATCAGATTTGTTCTTTTTTTTTTATTAGTCATTAAAATTGCACAGTACTCTGTTGCTCATACAGCCATAGCAATCCAGAGCAAAAGCATGACTCCTCCTGCGTTCACAGTCCAGGAAGTACTGAGTCTGCTTGCGGCAGACCCTGTGGTAGACTCTTTATAATTCAGCAGATTCACTTGCTTCTGGCCTCGGCGATTGTCATGGTACTTTATTTCATCGGTGTCTCCATAGGCGTAGATAACATAAATGACTTTGTCCTACAAGACAAATTGCTTTTTTAGTCGAGACGTGAGAACAAAACAAAAGTAACAACCTTCAAAAAAAATGCTTCAAGAAGTGTTTTGCAAAGAAAATTTCCCTTGACAGTTGTTTTTCCATGTGTGTCCGTACAAATGTGTTAAACCTCCAAGGTCAGACTGTAGGTTTTTATTACAGAAACTGTATAGCATTTCAGACGCTCAATGGAAAACAAAATCCTGCGTGGTATTTAGTTATGTTTCCTTTGTTTTCACGTTGAAAAACGCCCAGCTGAAGGCAGCATAAATGAATGCTCAGGCCCAACAACAAAACCCACTAGATTGCACATAATGATAAAGTGAGAAACTGGAGCTGCACACAGAGAATTGGGTAACAATGGACTTGTGGAGCAAAATATCAAATTGAACGTGAGAGAACGAAAACAAACTTAAGTGTTTGTGTTAATATTAAACACGCACGTCTATCTGAAGTATAAACGGGTTATACAGTTCATTTTCTTTGGGACGTTTTTTTCAAATCACTAATTATTCTTGCTTTGATCACTGTATAAAGACTCAAGTAGCTTTAACTTCCTATATCTCTCACAAAAACATTATAAACTGATATAATATTAGCGTTAAACATCCATTAATATAGTCACCTATTTGCCTAATTGTAGTAGTATTGATGACTTTAGAACACTTTCTTGCTTTTGTGAACATAACGGAAGAAAAAGTAAAAAGGGACTTACAGTAATGAGAAAGTCGTTGCTATCCTTTGTATCCATGAGCCTCCGAAATGTCATTGTGGTTTCCCCATTGTTTTCAGTCATGGAGAGGAGATGGTAGTTCTGCTGCCCATCCATTGTAGGCATGGTGTTCGACTTGGCATAATAATCCTAACGGACATAATGACAAACATTTAAAACAGCAGCATCTTCAGCTAGTGTGATCTATTGTTTGTTTGCACTAACAAACAAGCTTAAAATGTTCAGAGTGAAAGCTTACGCCAAAATAGTTCCCACTGGATCCAAGCCCCCCAATGACGATGTCTGAGTCGACCATGTCATCGTGTATGCTAAGTCCAAAGCCCACCCAGCCTGTTGTGCCGATCGTCAGCTGGAATGTGATGTTCCCTTGAGGATCATTGAAGCCCCATTTCAGGCTGACCTTCGTGGCCATGGAGACCGTGTAAGTCAAGTTGTAGTCTGCGGCCCATGTCGCTTTAGTCCAGGCCAGTGAGATGAAGAGGAAAGAGAGCAGAGCCGACATGATGCCTCCGCGAGGTTGGAAAGCTTCAGACTGAGGACAATAGGTGCCGAGTTGCACCCTCCCACCCTCTCTGGCAACACACCTGTGTTGCTAGATGAGCTCAGGTGATACCTGGGGGGGAGTGCCCAGTAATTTAGAATTTGACCTTGTAGAATGTAGAAACCACTACACAGAACCTTTTGTGCTCCCAAATACTTCTCTGTGTGTGTGTGTGTGTGTGTGCTCTGTGATTTGGCTTCAATTTAAGGAATTTTCTTGTGATTCTTGATGTCTGATCTGGATGTTTGGGATTAGTTTCAGAGCTGTGAAACAGCAACAGCTCCTGTGTCAACAGTGCTAAATTATTTAATCCATTCACACGTTCAGATCCTGTTTTCGTGTCGCTCTGTGAGATCTTGCCAAGTCGACCAATGACTTGGCAAAGTTACATCATCACAAGTTCATTCTGACTATAGGCAATTGACAGACGGATAACAGGTTTCGGTGGTTGATATATAAGACGTTTAGAGCAAAACCCAAAGTGTTTTCATTTATATGTGCTGCATTTGAGCCGAACTCCGTCTGTCTGGACTGTGAATATGACTCTGCTGAATCGTGCAGGTTAGGATGAAACAGAAACATGGATGCTTTCATACGTCCAGCAATGATGTTCGTTTAAGTTCAAGTGGCTTTTTAGTGGACTTCATGCTCTGATGACAATAAGCTTTTATTTTTCACATTCTCCTAACTAAACTAAATAAATAAAAATATTTCAAACCCATGATCTAAATGACACATATTTGGTTGTCTTTGCTGCAGTTTTTCTGTCCTTATGTCTGAAATACTGACCTTTCTGTATTATGTCTTTAAGGTTGATTGGTTAGTTTTTTGTTAACATTCTGTAAGGCAGCTTAATATTTATTTATATTTGAGGCTTGTGACCAGTCAGTCAGCAGACTGTGGATGGTTTACTCACACCTGTACTTAAAACAGTATGAAAAGCACACATGCTTAATGCTGCTGTCATCATTCTGGTTTCATTTGTTGCCAAGTTGAATTTTATTTTTAAATCAATCTATAGCATCAAATAAAAATCCAGTCAGGCTACCACCAGTGAGTTATTGTTAAATTGTCTGGTACACTTGCAATATTAAGGAGGGATTATAACACAAGATCTGATGCTCACCATCTTGTGAGCATAAAATGAACTAAGACTTTGTTGAAATTTGTTGAAAGACTTTGTTTGCTTGAAACATGTTTATCTGTAAATAAGGTGTCTATTCATATTCATTCATTCTATTATACAGGTTAGTCTCATCATTGAACTACCCTCATAAACTATATGTGTTGACAATGCAAACCATGTCCATACCAAACCACTGACACCAGAAGCTCATAAAAACTGAAGGTTCTACTCACAGAGAGGAGGACCGGTTGGCACAACTGTCCATCCATGTCAACCCATTCATTTTCTTTTACACGCTTTTTCCTTTTCAGGTCACGGCAAAGCTGGTACACCCTGGACAGGTCACAAATCCTTCACAGGGTCACATGGACACAAAGAGACAAACAACTATTTACACTCTTGCTCACACCTAGGGACAATTTAGAGTTATTTAAAGTTACTTTGGTGTTAAGAAAGAGGACACCAGATTGATGTCATCTGTAGGAAGTCCTCCCACAGATGACAACAAAGAAAACCTGCTTTTGCACATGCAGAATATGTAAACTTCACACAGAAAAGTCGGAATGTGAAGTGAACCTATACGACCTTCTTGTTGTGAGGCAACAGACATTAGGAGCACGAGGAAAAAGTAATTGTTAAAAATTATGATCAAACCTCCACGCAGCTGCCAATCTCTAAATGCTTTGTTTAACTGTGAAGTAAAAAGCCCTTAAAAAATTCTCTCCAGAGCAGAGACAGATGTGTTTGGAGTAACTTTGTTTCACGTCCACCAAATCCAGCATAAAAAAATGTATAGTTGTTTTGGTTTTACTTTTCAGGAGTACGTGTCTAGTATTTTCTTTAATTATCTTTTTACATCCAGGTCATGTTAATTTTAAAGTGTTGCTGACAGCTCAAGTTGCTGCAGCTCTAATGGAATCACCTCAATCCACCGCCTGTTCACATTTAGTGTTCTGAAGTCGCCCCCACCTGGACTTTTTATAACTGCATGACAGGATTTGTTATGCACATGCATTAGATTAATTTAATTAATATGAATTATTATAAACTATAAAATACAATCACTTTGAATGAAATGTTTATTGTTCTAAGGGAGAAAACTGTCAGTCTAGCAAATAAAAATGGCAATTTAAAGTTATTTTGTAAGGTGCAAAGCACTACCTGTGCTACATTTAAAATATATACGGTGTATGTAAAACAAAGTTAGTTAACTCCTTTCACTGTCAAGCTGTACGAGTATTATTACTGTAAACACATTTTGACCAGTGAACATTCACACTATGAGGGTTGTTACGTTTGAAACTTGCAATTAATGGACGTTCTTGTTGCCAAGCGTACTTGAACATTAAAATCTGCATGATTTATACAGAATGATGATTGATACATTGATACAGGCACATCAGACAAACAAAAGTAGACTAAATCCATGTACAAACTGTTAAACAGTTTTCACATTTGATCGTTCATCGAATTACATTAATTCAAAAAATGTCTCTCCCACCTAAAATAAACAAAGCACAACAAATATATATTTTTTGTTAAATCCAGAGGCTTTGGGAATGTTCATTAAGAAGTCCAGAACACTGCTATTAAAAAAGCTGCAAACTTTGTAAATAAATCAACCAAGTTATAAAACTATTTTTTATTTATTTAAATGTAATATTTCCCCAACCTCCATCTGACACTCCAAAAGTGCAACTAGTGCATTGCTGTCATGAAATAGTCACTGGGCAACAAAGAGGACTGAGATAAGTACGATCAGATAAATAAATACACAATCGGCATGCCTAATGGAAAGTTCGTTTTACCTTGTAATGACAAAGTATATCCAGCAGAGGGCGACATAAAACACACAAAGCGACCAGGGTAGTGGTGTGTATGAAGATAAATCAGTCTCAAAAGGAGTAGCACAAGTGTAAAATAGGATTTATATGCACACAATAAGATCCACAAGCATACCACAAGTTTTTCAAATGTGTACTACAAGAGTCACAAATACAAAAACTTTTTTTTTTCAAATGTAAACCTTTCAGTTTGCACAAGTAGGAATGCAAATGATCAAATACATATGCACAAATCCTCTGCTGTGGACAACTCAGTGAACACAAGTGCATGGATCAGGTTGCTGTGAATGTGACTTTTAAGACTTTCTTGCTGCTCCAGGTTCACAAAGGTAATGCTGCATTCAAGGCTGGTATAAAGCTGGGACATCTGAGCCTTGCCAGATTTATGGAGTTATTGGGGAAAGATCCACTTCTAACTTGACACAATAGCTCATAACCTTATATTAAAACATATGCACATATTCACTTAAAATATATTTTCCAGTATTTTCTTCCTCTGCTCAAAATACTGGAATTTTTTTTTCTGGTAGTTTTTCCTCAAAAGGAAAATGTTAATTTAGTGGATGGTATGAAATAAATATAAAAAAAAATATTAGTTTATTCTTATTGTGGAAAAAGTACAAGGAAAATACATTTTTATATCTATCTAAACACATACTGTACATAGATAGATAGATAACCATTCATAGAAAACCTATCTATCATAGATATATAGATAGATATATAAATATATAGATAGATAAGATAAGTTTTGACTGCTTATATAGTTATTAACGGTCGGTGGACGCGCACAGCTAAGGGGGCAAAAGATCGGAGCTGAGGGGGTGTTAGTCCTTTCATGGCCATCAAAGCACATTAAATCCTTGCTTCTGCCTGCATTCTGCATTATTCAGACACAGACCCTGCTCTGACATGTTGGATATTTTGGGATCTCACCTGTTTGGGTCATCGGCCGCGTCCGTCCAGCAGCTGAATGAACGTCCATTTGGGCTTTGGATGGATCACTACCTGGCAGTCATCCCATCTGAAGTTTAATTGAACCTGTTTTTACCTCTTTCAAGGCTGGTCAGCATGCGGTCAAATGGCCATGTGCAGCTGGTGAAGTGTGGCAAGCCATATTACCATATAATTGGATCGTCAGCCACACGCGTCCACTGATGAAATCAAAAGCCGAGCTGGGCCGGGCTCTGGGTTTGGGTTAGAAATGACAGCTCTACCCGAATAACACTTTCATTCTATTGGCTGGGACGGTTGCCAGGCGATCGCACTCCTTGTTCCGCGAGAGAGAGGTTTGCCAGCGGAGATTTGATCCGTGCAGAGAGAAGTTTTGCGCGCGAGCAGAAAGTCTGAGCGTGAACACAAAGATTTGTGAGAGCACAGAGCATATTTGAAAGAGAGCAGAAGTTTTGAGTGCATGCATTACAAGTTTTGAGAACAAAGAGATTGAATTCCTGCTTTCAAACTGAAAATGTGTGCTCTCGACTTATGTCAGTAAAATTGCCCCATACATTCCCCTTGTAGGTTTGCGTGAATACTTTTGATACTGATTTATCTTCATACACCGCGGGTGCCACCCTCTGAGCAACAGTTTAAAGTAAACATAACCTGGCTATCAAAAGATAAAATAATAATAATAATAATATAACGGACCCGTGATCATAATAATTTAAACCAATGAGTACTTTTGAATACCCAGAAATAGTCTTATATATTTTTTAAACAACACAAGAGTTTGTAGTTTTTAACGTTGAATTGATATTTAGTGATGTTTTAATTTTTACTACATGATGGTAGTTTATTTTCTCGTGGTGTGAGCGGATTTAGACCGTTTGGACTTTGTAGCTGACTGAAGAAAGGCCATATTGGACCTGGACAACCTTTCCGGTTTCCCTCAGTCGCAGGTCACTCCCTCCTCCGGGCTGTCAGCAGTTGTTACCGCCGTTCAGGCTTCGCTCCGAACAAGTTCCGGTTTTTTGCCCTTTTTTAATTTTATTTTTTGTCAGGCTGCTCGGTTGTTGTTTTTCAACGATTTACGGGGTTTTAATAGTTTAGCAGCGACAGGGTGTTACGGCGGCTTTGGACCAGGGGAGCTGCCGTCTCGTCGGCCTGCAGTAAGGAGGAGAAGGGGGGTAAAATGACCAGCTGAGGACTGGAGCTCTTCAACACCACGGGGCCTGTTTGGGTTTTATATTTAATGATTGATCAATGCTACCACAATGGCGCTAAAGGTAAGGCCGCCAACTTTTCAGACGCTTTCCCCCGCCGTGTTGTGCCCGTACAGTCGGCTGCAGTTTCCACTGACAGTTGGTTTTTGTGCGAGAGGAGTTGTAGTTTCTTATCCGCGCGTTCACTTAGCTACGTATTTAAAGCTGAACACTTTGTGAACGGTTTGTCATAGTCCCTGACAGTACGCGTGTATTTAACGTAAAAGCCGTTGTTTTTGTAGTAAACATGGAAAATGTAGATTTAAAAAAAAAAAGAAGAAAAAAAAAGTCTTGTGACATTTTACTATCTTCCCACTGCGGGTCATGTCTGCGTCAGTGGAATTCTGGGAAATGTAGTCTTTGATGTGCAGCAGCAGGAAAACTAACAGACTGTTATTTTTAAAGTAAACCCCCCCCAAAGTTGGTAGATTTAAAATAATTTAGTTAAACAATATTTACCAGATTGTCTTATTTCATAATGTTATCGGATTAATACAGACTTAAAGTATTATTTACTGTTTCCATTCATTAATGTTTTACTTACACATGCTGTTGGATTACTTACAAATCTGTTTCTGAGTATCTAATGATTTAAGATAGTGAAGCCAGCTTAGTTAGTAAATGTGTTTTAGGAGGTAAAAAGACTCATAAGTTCAACACATTAAAAAAAAAAAGTTTGCAGTTAGAAATGTATGGTAAAAATAAGTCTTTTACACGCCAAGTTGCAGCTTAAGAACTAACACACAGTCTCGTCATACTGAAAGTTTTGGTTAAGCAGTGTGAAGTATCAAACATCTCACAAATATAATTTCAAGAAGTAGTTTTAAGCAACAAGATGCATTGTTGTTTTGGAAGATGAGTGTGAACACTGTCACAGTTCTTCTGCCACTAGACGTATATGTCAGTGTTGCCATGCCACATTATAAGCGAGATCTAGATGACTTGCATAAAAGATAACTGTGCCAGTAGCATTCATGACTCACTTTTATGCAGTTCCTGATTTAAAAACGCCTATCACTCTGTTTTTAAATGTGGCCGGCTGAAACTAAAATGAACGTCTGTTCTGTCTCTCTTTCCGTCTCTAAGGTTAATGAACAGTTCAACGATTTTCTTCTGGAGACTTAACAACATCCTGGAAACGTTTTTAGTTTGCTTTCTCTCACTAATAAATAAATACTGTGTGTTTGCTCATGTGTGGCCCCAGGGTAAAGGACAGATTAGTAGATTTTGGTCAGAGAGGACATTTAGGCACCATGTTGCTTATTGCTTTGTGTAAACCTGGCGTGTTTAATATGCATCACCTGTATGCCTGAAAGAACGAGTTTGGCCTGTTTCCCTATGACTGTTTATTCTCACAACTTTTTTTTTTTTTTTTTTGCAACAGGCATCACTTATCCTGATATATGTGTTAGTTAGCATACACAAACACATGTAAGGAAGTTGTTTAATCAGTTATGTCTGTCTTGATCTATTTCAGGCACAGGTTTTATACGACTTCACAGCTGAGCCCGGAAACAATGAGTTGACAGTGAGAGAAGGCGAGACAGTCACCATCACCAACCAGGTAAAAACAATTAACGCTGCCACGTTGCGTTTTTTTTTACCATCACTTTACAGAGTTCAGGGTTTAGGCACTCCATTGTGTCAACAACCTTTGAGTCTATCAGCAATTTATTCAGCTTGATTGTGTTTGATTTGCTCGAAACCTTGGATTGTACTAATAATTACAATTAAACGTGGGCCTCAGTAGAATTGATCAGCACTTTCTTAACGGAGAAGCTTTATTTTGTCTATTGGGAATTTTTTTTTTCCTGAAATGAGTTACTCAAAACATTCTTTACGACAACCTGTCATTACATGTTTGTGACACTCTTCCTATTGCTTTGCCAACTTCTTTAGAGAACAAACCACATGCTGTCATGTCGTAATGAAGCGCGGTGTCAAAAGTATGTACAAAGGACGAAAGCACGAGAGAAAAATACTGACCTAACAAACATGATGTCATTACAGTGAGTTTTCACCGGTTCAAAGATTACTAACCTTGTGCTGACCTACATAGTTTTCTAATCTAAGTCTGCCAGGGCTCGCTGTATCAGGAAGGGTTAGAGTTTTTTCTTTCTTTGCTAAATTAACAGTCGGTGGACGAGACTGTCCTGGTAACAATATTTTATAGATAACTGGGTTATCTGTTCTTCATGTTCCTCCCCCCCACACTTTTAACTTGTGTCTAAAACTTTGTTCTCATGGTTATTTGGGGTTTGAGTTCATATCTTGGAGCCCATTCCTTGGCTATCAGCGTAGATGCCCTTGAAGTGTAGGTATTAACACAAACCTAAATCTAGACAGAGGAGGAAGATTCTGATTAAACATTAGCACACCGTATAGTACTTAAAGAATTCAGAGTAACGATATGTAGAGGAGGACCTATTGATTGGTCGGCTGGTAACTTGAACCAATTTTGACCCATTAAAAAAAAAAACTTGGCATTGATTCTGAGCTTATTAAGCTATTAAAAGTCATGTAAATCTAAGTGTACTAGAGTATTTTTTTACATTTGATTCCATGTCTTTTTATTGTGCTTTCTGTCATATGTGTCAGCATTAAAATATTAGACTTTGAGGCCAAAAACAAAGGAACTGGCTTAATGATTCGTCCCATCTTCTTCTTTTGGCTGTTCCCTTTTCAGGAGTTGCCACATCGAGTCGTCCTCCTCCATCTCTGTCCTTTGCATCCTCTGTCCTCACTCCAACTACCTCCATGTCCTCTCTAACTGCATCCATCTTCTCTTTGGTCTTCCTCTTTGTCTTTTTCCTGACAGCTACATTTCTAACATCCTACTATCAATACAGTAGTCCCTCACTTATCGCAGGGTTATGTTCCAGACAACCCTGTGATAGGTGATCATCCACAAAGTAGGTACGTTATATTTATTTTAGTATTTTTATATACATGTATCCGTATATTTTGTCCTTCTTGATATAGCGAGCGTTGCACCGGGTAAGAGCTCGATGCGTCGGGGTCTGGCAGTGGCAGTGGGGGTGTACCCGGAGAGCCGACTCGTTGCCCGCACAGTGACCGGCGCCCTCCTTCCCCCGATGGAGCGGGTCTCCTCCGCCGGTCCCAGGGAGGTGAGCGCGAGGACACGGGCATCACGGAGGAAAGTCTCCACCAGTGGTGGCCGCAAGTGCCGCGGGTTCGACGGGAGTAGGCGCCCCCCGGAAGCGCTCCTGGAGGCGTGCAAATGGGGAGGGTCATACGGATGCCGGAGATATGGTCCCTGGACGGGGACCGGGCTGCCCGGTCCTTAAAGAGCACAGCGAAAGAGAGCAGACAGACTAATGATACGTTACTGAGCCAATCAGTGCCCAGAATACAGAGCAGAATGCTCTGGTTGGTCGCCTTCCATCAATCAGCCAATCATGTGTCGTGTACAATCTTATGTTGAAAACTCACAAAACAGTGAGTCCGCGAAAGTTGAACCGTGAAGGGACTACTGTATACCACTGTCCCTCCTCTGGACATGTCCAAACCATCTCAGTCTGGTCTCTCTAACTTTATCTCCCAGTTGTTCAACCTGTGCTGTACCTCTGATGATCTCATTCCTAATCTTATCCATCCTTGTCACTCCTAAGGAGAACCTCAACATTTTCATTTCTGCCACTTCCAGTTCTTTCTCCTGTCTTTTTGTCTCTGTCTCTGTCTCCAGACTGTACAATATATCTGGTCTCACCACTGTCTTGTTAACTTTTCCTTAGAATTTTGCTGCCACCCTTTTGACACAAATCACTTGAATTTTTTTTCCCATCTACTCCATCCTGGCTGGACTCTCTTCTTACCCTAATGAATTGTCCATCGGCTGTCCGTTTTCTAAAAACTGGGTTTGGAATTGACCTTTGAAAAACACTAACTGGTCTACCTCCAATAATAACACATTCTCAAAGTTTTATTTTTATGCAACTTCCCTTCAGCGTTTTTTCTTTATGTGCACTCGATGCACCTGCCTTCTCTTTTGCATAGCCAGCCCGTGTCATTCATGCTAATATTTATCTGGGTTTTATCTTGTTTCAGGGTATTGGAGGTGGCTGGATTGAAGCACAGAATACAAAAGGGGAAGTTGGACTGGTGCCTGAAGATTACATTGATGTAAGCTCGACAGTAAAGATCTTGATACAACAAAAGTTTTTACAACACAAACATCACTGCAGCAGATTTAACAACAAAACAACTTGTAGGGAAATTAAAATTAGACTTTTCCGTTACTTGCTATTCTAATCTTCTTGTTTTTTATTTTATTTAGTCACATATGAGGATTTGTATCCACGCTTTGGGGTTGTCTTTTTGCCTGACAGTGAAATCACAACAGGATGCACCTCCTTCAGAAGTTCTGCTGATTAAAGCGCTTTTCTGTGTTTGACCGTTCGTCCAGTTTGATCCAGTAACTCTGACTTCATCATGTGGATATGATTCATCCCAAAGACATTTGTAAAGAGGCCGAGTCTGATTAAAAGTCGAGTCTGTGACGTTTACCGTTTAGCTTCTCTTTAAACACTTTCCGCGACTTCCTTCCTCTGTGTTTACAGATGAGAGTGATTTAATAAAAACCACAAGCTTAACAAGTTCATATGAATGTGTGCACCTCAGGTTCTTTTGATTCTTCAACCAAATAATAAGTTTACATACGAGTGACTGGTTGGTGTAGAAAAAGACGTTAAGTTTGTTTCTCGAGCATCTACTTTCTGTAGATTTCTTCTGATGAAAAGTTTTAAGACGGGTGAAAATGAAACCGTTACCACAGCATTAAGTGGAAAAGCATTCGTCTGAAAGTCACCAGCTTGTGCAGTCACTGTTTGCAAAGCCAGGAGGGGATTGCCAAGGAGATGATGTTACCGTGAAGGAATGTACCTTTTAGAAATCATTAAATCAGAGTGGACTATCTGGGGTAAATAATCTGTCTGTTATCCTTTTATTTATAGTTCGGCAAAGCATTCCAAGGAGCAGGAACAACAGCACCTCCTGCAGCTGTAGGAAACGTTGCAGCCCCGGACCTGTCTTTCTTTGACACGTTTGCACCATCATCAGCCCCTGCACAGGTAACGTCCTCAACTGGGTGAAGGAAGAGATCACAAAGCCACGTTTGAGACCTATAAATATACACAACGGTATCAACAGCCTGTCAGGTTTCTGTTCTCCTGCTCACACACGTGCACTGCAGATGACGGATGAAGCAGATGTAAGTGATGACAAAGTCTGAGAGACTTTGCTGGTTGTGCGAACCTCCGATGCAGAAGTGAGAGCAGCTGTGTGAGATGTCAAGTCAAACGTACGCAGCTTTCTTTCCTTTAGTAATACAGAGCAGAGAGGAAACAAACTCGGTGAAGTGTTCTTTCTTTAGCTGCCAGGAAGTTCCACTGAAACGCTGTACCTTGCTGGTTCAGTAAAAAAATCAGAGGCCTGGTGCGTTTAGGAGCCACTGCAGGAAACGTGCCAGCTGTTTTCCTCCAGCACGTCTTAAAGCATCACTTTAACCCTCTCGTCTGCTCAGGATTTACCTGCACTGCAGGCGCTTTGTGATGATGTCACCTTCTGTTCCCCTTCAAGGTGGATGCTGGGGCCTCGAGTGCCCTGCCGGACACCCCCGACACCCCGGTTTCCCCCTCCCTTTCGTCCCCTGAGGAGGTAATCGCCACTTTGGTGGGTGGTGAGCGTGACGAGGCATTAGTCGAAGCCTTCTTGCCCTCACCAAGTCTCACACCAAAGCCATCTGATTGGCCTGCTCTGACACTTTCCCCCTGTTGTTGGAAAAAAAAAAAAAAAGCATGATCTCACCTTCTCTGTTCTGGTTGCACTGCGGTGGAGACACACACACACACATCACACCAATCAACTCCCACTCTCAATTCATGTGAACAAACCTCATTTAGTCAATGTACAAAGAATGATCTAATCTCGCTGACAAATCTTACATGTATTTATTTTGAATCATTTGTTTTAATGCCATCAATATAAACAATGTTCTAGTTTAACTGGTAGTTTAAACCAAACTACCCCTATGGTAAATAAAAAAAACATGGCGCAGTGTGGTTCCTAACTGCTTTAGTGTTGGTTTGTTGGTGGCATTGCAGCAGTTTGCTTTGAAACCTCTAATTCTACACCTCATCACCTCAAAGTTTGGTTAGCATTATGCTAATTTGAACTTACAAAACGACAGACACACACCTTTGCATGCCTGTGCCTGCGAGTTTGAAAAGCATGCCGTGTACTTTCATTTTGAGCTCACATGTGCTCAAAATGGTAACTTTTTGCAAATATTCTCTCCTGTTTAGAAATTAGAGATGACCTTTTCCAAAAATGCTGCAGTTACTAATTATAAGCTGTCCTTGTTGAATTGTCTCGTGGTGCTGTGGAGCAGATCTGTGTCACGTTTGGAAAAGCGTTGTTTTAAGACAACTGTCAGCTTCTCATGAAACAGACATCGTCTGTCCTTCATCATCTCTCTCTCTGCCGTTGCAGTCCTGCTCCTCAAAATTTCTTCCTTGTGTGTCTCCCAGGCTAGTAATGGCAAGGATCCCTGGTCAGTGTGGAATGCTGACCCCTCGGCGGGCTCCAACAACAACAACTGGGCGTCTAATCCGGAGGGCACTCAGACTGGGAGGAGTGCTGCAGACCCGTGGGGTTCTGTATCGCAGGGCCACCCTCAGGTGTACCAAGGTCCAGGTAAACCTGCATTCTGTTCTCAGCAGCTGTGTGTGTACTACAGTAAAGTTGTCTCTGGTGTTTATATTCTGAAAGCAAAGTGCTAATTTGGCACCGGAGGATTGTGGTTATATTTGCTCCTGAATTGGGTGTAAATGTTTATGGGTGTTTTGTTTTTCTTAGAAGGCAAAAAAGTGGGGAGGAGAGTATTTAATTCATGAGTCATGACCGTGAGATGCTGGTGATGCACAAGTGTTGTCATCAGGAGGAGAGAAAGGATGAAAAGTGATATTTGATAAATTTGTAGTACTAAAAGAAAATGTTCAACTCCCATGACGTTGTTTCTAATTCACTGCTGGTAGTGACACATATTGCTGCTCTTTCTGAATTTGTGCTTTATGTTTTTAATTTGTTTGTTTATTTTATTCGTAAGGCTGCAATATAAGTCTGCTGCTGGGATGTTGACGTCATCATTTTTATCTGCTTTTGTCCCTAGGAGAATATAACATTTTCAAAACCGTAAGGATGTCTTATTGAAGCCCATTATTATTTTTATTCAAATACTCCTGGAATGAAAGTTGCTATTGATATTTCTGGAGTGGATTGAGTAAACGGATCAAACTGTGTGTTGCTTTTTTAAATTATATTTTGTTCATGCTCAGGTTGAGTGACTATTCCTCACCACAATTTGCCGTCTGATCCAGAACTATAAAGAAAAAAACATACATTTGAATAAAGTTAAATGTAAGAGGGATGTTATTTGACCCTAAGCTGAATGTAGCAGTTTATTCACTGAAGTAAACCCATTAAATAAATATTTTTGGGGCCAAAAGCGCGTCTTGGGTTCATATTTATTGCTTGTGTCGTAGCAACAAAAAGCAAGCTGTTAGGGGAAAAAAGGGCGTAGCACCTTCCAAACTGCGTTATTCATTACTGGAATAAGCTCTCGTTTGTAGACTGTTCAGTTTCAGGACTTCATCAACAGAACGGTCCACTTCCATAGCTGTTTTTTTTTAATGCACAGACAGACGCTAATTAGCATAAATTAAATTTGACCCATGGTCTGTTACTCAAATGTTGCAGTCTTTTTTTTTTTTTTTGTTGGGCTTCTTGCTTTGTCCTTTTCATATTAGCGGCCACAGCAGCACATAAACAACATAGACTGAGGTTTTAGTTGGATAAATAAAGTTTGTTGGCAACAATCCAGTTCTGTAAACACATAGTTAATATGATGACATCACAGCACAGAATATTGTCTTAAAGTTATGTAAAAAATTTGGGTTTGCTGTGAAGGATTTATTATTTTACTAACAAGAGCGTAATCAAACTGTTTAATATATTATCCTCGAGTTACCCTGAGTCAAAGTGTGAATAAATAATAATAACTAATCTGAAACTGACTAGTTTTGATCCATCGTCTGGGCCTGATGTAATTTTTTTTTTTTCACTTCATGCGTGTCTTCTTCCACCTTAGAGACGCTCTAAGACACATGTGTCAAATTCAAGGCCCAAGGGCCAAATCTGGCCCTTGGGCACATCTTGTGTGGCCCTTAAGATGATATTATAAATGTAAACTATTTTCTGTCACCTCTCATTTAGCTTAAAAACCTAGCATGGTGTATTTAGTGCAGACTTCTCATAATAGCTGGTCAACTTTGAAGCCCAAAAAATGTGTTGAAAAATATATATTTTTATGTGGAAAGAGCAACAGATGAACCTGCAATCATGAAATGATGGTGACTGCTGATTCAGAGATTCTTTGTCATTTCACCACATATGGTTACATGTGGTGGAATGCAATTATGTACACAGGGTCCCAGTTACATCCAACAATAAAATGTAAAAGAAAAACAGTAATAAGATCTAAGATATGAACTAAGACCTGTTCTGACTTATGTTAATGTACTTCTTGAAATTTACCCTTGTTTTTAACCATATTTTTTATTTTTGGCCTCCTTTTGTTACCAGGTTTGACCCTCTTGCTTTAAGTTGTGAGCGGGATCATAATTCTGTTTTTACCAGACTGGAAAAATCGTCCTCTGAGTAGTGGAGAGCAGTGACTCAGACTTTCTTTTGTGAAAAGAGAACAAATGAAATGAGCTGTGAGGAAAAAAATAACAGACTTTTTCTTTTTTGTCTTTAGTCAAAGACATCTACCCATATCCTTACCTTATTGATTACACAGGTATCATTTTGTTGCCTGATGGGTGTTTCCTAATTTTAATGTGTGAACTGCTGAGAAGTGTTTGCTAGAAGTGAAACTAGTGAAATGCAATAGAATATTTCCTTTTTAAAAAGCATGTGTTTGAAGGTAAACACTAACGCTATGATAACTTCGTGGTAATTTGCACAAAGGGCTTTTTTTATGTTTTGCTCTTCAAATTAAAGAAGGCAGCTTCTACTTGTTTGACTGGGAGTCCTCCCGGTGTAGACGGCAACCAATGAACCGTATTAAAGCTTCAAATCTTCATTTTTTTGGCCGCTACAGCAGAATTGTTATAGTTTTAGCCGAATAATTCAAGTGTGTTTGTTCTGTTTGGATCTAGACGCTGTCTTAAAACAAAAGCACAAAGGAAAACCATTTGAAATGGGTATTAAAAACTGATTGAATTTTAGGAGAATGCAGCTGGGTTGTGTGTTTGGAATACTTTTTTTTTTTTAAAACAAAATCTGTTCTTAGAAATTCAGATACCGGACAGAATTTTGACCAAACGTGTGGATTTGTTTTTGGCTTTGCTTCCCATTAATGTTGAAATCCAACTAAGTGCATGTGTGAAAATAAACATTGTATTTGTCTTGTTGCTTCAAAGTTCAAATACAAATTGCTTTGAACAGAATTCTTCAAACCTTCCCAAGCATCAATTGAACTCACGGGACTCGTCAAGAAATGAAAAAAGGCCGATGGTGTGCTGATTTTTCCACCTTCTGGTTTCGAGGGATGTTTTTAGCGCATGCCAAGTTAAATATTTGGATTTTGATAACGCTGAACATGACATGGGCAAGTGTAAAAGCTTCCAGACGCATCAAAACGAGACTATTTTTAAAAATTTGAATCAGAAATTAAGACATACCGGCGGTAACTACCCGGTAAGCATTAAAACTGAGATTTGGATTTATTTTATGAGAAGAAATTATACTTTTATACTTTTTTTGTCTTTATCTTGATTGAGCAAATTTTAGAGCAACAAAATTAATAACAAAACTAAATTGATAAGACAAATTATAAAGACTTTTATCCAGAAAGATACAACTCATCTGGTGGGAGAACTTTAGAAAGAGTACCTTTTTTTTTAACTGTTGCTCGTTAAACGCCATAAATCATTAAACACATTGTAGAGCCGAGCACAACAAGGTTGTCTTGTGTCTACGATTTGAATCTAACGCCTGATCTGATGAATCCCACCTCAGGGGCAGAGTTTGACGAGTGGGACGATGAGTGGGATGACAAGTCCACTGGCGGTTACGCAGAATCAGAATTGGGAGAAAGTGGAGCAATGCAAAGAGGTGGAACGCATTCATCTTCAATGAAAATATCCCTCAACAAGTAAGATTTTTTACAAGACAATACACGAAGAGTTTGTTACAGGAACAAGATTTAACAAGAGAAATGTGACTGCTGAAGACTGAATGACAGCTGGCGCTTACAAAAGAAGCTAAACATGAGCTTTAAAGATACAAGAAGCAGAGCATTATCTAAATGCTATAAAGGAGTGAAACTTTAAAATACGAAAGAAGCAAAATGCTAGCTAAAAGCCAGAATTGGCAAAATATTAGCTCAAAGCTAAAAGGAGCAAAAAGTTATCTAAAAATTGCAAAATGCTAGCTAAAAGAAGAAATATGCTAGATGAATGAAGCAGAATGACTGCTAAAAGTAGCAGAAGGCTATAGATTAAAGTAGCCAAAGGCTAGCTAAAAGAAGCAAAATGTTAACTAAAAGTAGCAACTGCTAGCTAAAAGCCAGAATTGGCAAAATTTTAGCTCAAAGCTAAAAGGAGCAAAATACTAGCTAAAAGAAGGAAGATGCTAGCTAAATGAAGCAGAATGACTGCTGAAAGTAGCAGAAGGCTAGGTAAAAGTAGCCAGAGGCTAGCTAAAAAAGCAAAATGTTAACTAAAAGTAGTAATTGCTAGCTAAAAGCCAAAATTGGCAAAATATTAGGTCAAAGCTAAAAGGAGCAAAATGCTAGCTAATGGGAGCAAAATACTAGCTAAAAGAAGGAAGATGCTAAAATGAAGCGGAATGACAGATAAATGTAGCAAAAGGCTAGGTAAAAGTAGCCAAAGGTCAGCTAAGAAAAAGCAAAATATTCATTAAAAGTAGCAATTGCTAGCTAAAAGCTGAAATGGCAAAAGGTTTGTTCAAAGCAAATAGTAGCAAAAGGCTACTTAAAAGTAGCAAAATTATTCTAGTTAAAAGTAGCAAAAGCCTAAGAAAAAGCTAAAAGTAGCTAGAAGCTAACAGTAGCAACACAGTACTTAAAAGTAGCTGTTAATAATGGGAGACTGCGATGAAGTGAAGACTCAAAGCAATCTGCTGACTCCCTAGATAAATAAATAACGTAGTATAAAAAGACAAAAACAAATCAAATTCACTGAAACGGATTTCAAAGAGGACAATGATAATAAAAATATTGATGTTTCTATAGGAAGTTATATGTAAATAATGTAAAATGTTTTGAAAAATGTAAATGTTAAAAAAAATTGTTATTGCACCCACCTGTTGAATGAGCCGAACAGTTTGATACAAGAATGTCTAAAATAGCAGAAAATGTGAAGAAGTAGTTGGATTGCAAAAACACAGCACCTTCGTAGTGATGGGACCTTGTTCCCTTTTGCTGATGAGCTTTGTTTCAAAGGCCTCGTCTTGATAAGAGAGAGTTTCTGCTCAACATTTATTTTGTAATAAACTGATAAAAATTAACAAACTGGGTTTTACTTTGTCCCCCATTATTTCTGCCATGATAAATTTAAAACGAGTTTTATTAACAGTTTTGTAAAAAAGATTAATTTTTTTTGGAGCAGGTTTCCAGGATTCTCCAAGTCTGGTCCTGAGCTCTACCTTCTTAATAAGCAGATTTCAAAAGACAAAGATAAGCTGCCAATTTATGTAAGTTATCTCTAAACATACACATTTATACAATCTACTAGTCATTACCAAAAATATTTTATGCACACCATTGAAGTTTTAAGATGCACTCGGTGTATTATATTTAGCATCTTTACTGACTTTGTTTTAAAATGAATTTTGTTTGCAACAGACTAAGAGCAAAGTTGAGAAAGTTCTAAATCTTTGTGTTGTGTGTTCAGGTGGGAGAGGTTGGTCCTGTGTGGTCTTACCCAGAAAATCAACTGGACTGTATTGTAGCCGATCCTAAGAAAGGCTCGAAGATGTACGGCCTCAAGAGTTACATCGAGTACCAAATCACACCCAACGTAAGTACGCCGAAACTTTCTCAGATTATTAAATAAATTCAGTGGACGCTCAATTGTTTTTCAAATTAAATGTTATCCCTTGTTTCTCTGGCCTACTCCCTGCTTTTGGCTTGCAGACCACAAACCGCCCAGTCAATCATAGATACAAGCACTTTGATTGGCTGTACGAGAGGCTACTGGACAAATTTGGGTCGGCCATCCCCATCCCCTCCTTACCAGACAAGCAGGTGACAGGTGAGCTCCTCTCGCTTCAACCATTTGTTTGTTAAAATGTTGCAAAGATGACCTGAAAAACACTCTTCATAACTTCATTTCCAAGGCCGCTTTGAGGAGGAGTTTATTAAGATGCGTATGGAGCGTCTGCAGGGTTGGGTGATCAGGATGTGCAGACACCCTGTCGTTTCTAGCAGCGAAGTATTTCAGCTTTTCCTCACGTACAAAGATGAGAAGGTATAATGTGATTTTCTTTAACTTGTATAACCCCCTTTAACTGTATTACTAAAAGGTTAAAATAGACTATTTTCTATTATTGAAATGGACTTTGTGCAAAATATTTAACTTTCAACTCTTTATAAAATATAGCTTGGACCTAACAATGTTATTAGTAAAAGTTAAGGACTTATTGAGTGACTTGATTTATCGGTTGATTGCAGGACTGGAAGATCGGGAAGAGAAAAGCGGAGAAAGATGAGACCGTTGGAGTGATGATCTTCAACACAATAGAGCCTGAAGCTCCGGAACTGGATCCTTTAGATGTGTGAGTTAAATCAAGCTCTGCCAAAACAAGAGCTACATCTCATAGTTGTTTTTATGTTCGTTAAAGAAGGAGTTCGGATCTTTTGGAAATCAGATTCTGTGAACAATTGATTTCTCACTTGTTGTCGATCGCACTCTTTAGACCTCAATTTGGAGAAATTGTTTAATTCTGACCAGATTGATGAGCTAATGGCTAGTCCAAGTGAGACCAAGATCAAAGTGGATTTTAATTTGTTTAGAATTAAATATAATTTCTTCAAACTGAGGCCGTTCAAAGAACCATCTACAACAGATAAGATCTTAACTACGCCAGCACTTTTCCACAGAACCCCTTTTAACAGATCTGAACTATATTTTTAATACTGACCCATATTTATTTATTTTTGGACAGGGAGAAGAAATGTGATCAGTTTAGCAGGTTTACCAAATCCATGGACGATGGCGTGAAGGAAATCCTCACGGTGGGAAACGAGCACTGGAAGAGATGCACAGGACGTACGTTGACTCCGCTCTGAATCTTAATGAGTGTTTACCACACGCTGGCTTCACCTTTACCTTAGGCTGTAATTATTATTTATATGTTTAAAAAAATCTCATGATGATGAGTATTTTGCCAACTTCTTTTTTCGTCTTTTTCACAGCTCTGCCAAAAGAATACCAGAGAATAGGAAAGGCCTTACAAAACCTGTCCTCTGTTTTCAACAATAGTGGATACCAAGGTACAGACAAGAAATGTGATAATTCAATTCAGTTTATTTATATAGCACCAAGTCACAACAGAAGTCATCTCAGGGCACTGAACAGAAATATTCATATCCATAAAAAGTAAGTTAACAACATTGAGGAGCAGACTGCTTTGAGTGCAACTTAATCACAGACTCTTATCTTGAGCAAGCATGAAGGCGACAGTGGAAAGGAAAAACTCCCTCATGAGGAAGAAACCTTTAGCAGAACCAGGTTCAGGACAAGCGGTCATCTGCTTCGACTGGCTGGGTTTGAGAAGAACAGAAACACAATGGCAGGTCCAGAATCATATCAGATATAAATAATTTCAAATGAAAACTATTCAATTGCAACAATTCATTATAAGAAATGAGGTCAGTTTGTCTTCCAGTAGTCTAAGCCTATGGGAGCATAACAAGCCAGCCCTAACTATAGGATTTATTAAAAAGGAAAGTCTTAAGCCCAGTTTTAAAACTGGACAACGTGTCAGCCTCACGGACAGAAACTGGAAGTTGGTTCCACAAGAGAGGAGCCTGAGAGCTGGAAGATCTTCCTCCCATTCTGCTTTTAGAAACTCTAGGAACCTCGCGTAAGCTCTCGTCTGAGAGCGAGGTGTTCTGTTAGGACAATATGGGACAGTAAGATCTGTAAAATAAGATGGAGCTAGGTTGTTGAGAGCTTTGTAGGTTAGAAGTAAGATTTTGAATTCTATTCTAAATTTGACATGGAGCTATTTCTGCCTTTTTTAATATTGTTCTTTCTTCATATAGCTCCCAAAGAAAGGCATGAGTAGAAGCATATGGTACGCAGATGTTGGCAAATATTTTAAAAATTCCTTCTCTGCCGTAGGCGAGGCGACTCTCACTGATGCTTTGACGGCGGCGGGGAAAACGTATGAAGAGATTGCCCAGTTGGTGGCAGAGCAGGTTGGTCCTTCAGCTGCTGTTGGAAGATACTGTATTGATACTTTTCAGAAAGTAGCTCTCCCCATGGAGTGCAGCATCTCACATAGATGCTGAATTTTCTGCTGCAGCTGGCCCAGTTTCACGTTCAAACCACAACAGCGTTCCGTCTTTTTGTGGTAATCTCTCTTCTGGTTTCCGATGTGCAAGCAACTGTCTTTCTGTCAATATTGCCTGCAAAGTTCAAAGATTACAGCCTTCAGGTTTTTATAATTAAAAATACTGCATTAGGTTGGGGCTTTATTAGGTTTTTTTTTTAGGGCTGTTGGGTTTTTAAGTATTTGTTTTCTGTCAAAACAAACTGTAAGAGATGATTTAAAGATGTCAACGTCTATATTAGAACTCCTCTTTCTCAGATCACAGTATCTGTTGCATCTGTAAATACAACCGTTTTGCATTCTTGTAGTACAACGTTTGGAAACCTAGTTTGTTTTCTCCTGAAGTAGATCTCTACCGTCCTGTGCAAAGGTTTAAGCAACCTCTTTTTTTTTTTTACACTTTGCTTCCAAGCAGCCAGGCTTTTTAGAATATTTTAAAGTGTTTTTTATCAATGGTTCTACAGGTTTTATTTAAAAAAAGTTATTTATTTGGACTTTTGATGCTTTTTAAAATCACTTTCTGTCCAGTCCTCGTACCTTATCATAACAGCGTAATGTGCAGTGTTTTTAAAACAAAGAGGAAAGAGAACAAAAGAAGACTTGACAGACCTAAAAATAAACTATTTTCAGCAGATGAACATTATCTGAAAGTCCTGTTTTTAGGAAAAAGGAAAACATTTGGCAAAGCCCTGACACAAATCCCCGGGCCTCATCTTTCAAATGAGCTTACTGTTTGTCAAGTTTTTTATCTTTGATATTTTTAATCGATTTGGCATAAATAACATGAACAAACTGTGCCTTGGACAGAGTGCTGGTAACAAAGTGCCTAAAGATCCAACTTTAAATAGAATTTGTTGCTGAATTGTTGTAGCAGTATTCAAGTTTAGGAGCCTTTTTATGCCTCAGTGATTGATGGATCAGAATTAAATGAATTAAGGACCAAAATTATTCATTTGAAAGTAATCCGAGTGAAAAAGGTGCTTAAAAAACTCCTAAAGGCCTTGAAAACCTCAACTATGAGTCAAGAGTTATAACCAGTGTGTGTAGATGGTGGTAGTTTGTAATTGTACTCTTACTCCAGCAGTTTTCCACATATTTTTTTATATGTAATTGTGGCATTTGGGTCCACACTTGGCTGAATTTGCCAAAACCATCTGAAAGCTTGGGGGCACATGATTGAACAACATTAAGCTAGCTGTAATCTGTATAGGTACACATATGGTGGGATCAGACAGGCAGAGCACCTTAGAGAAGATGTTTAGTTTAGATGAGAGCACATGGGAGGGAATCTGCTGCTAAACGTGAAGGAAAAGAGAATATCGAGAATAAATATTGAGAATCGAGCAGGGCGGTGGAGTGCCATGAAGACAGCTCGGGATTCAAACACCACTTTTGCGAAATGACTTTTCTACAGATCAAAGTAGAAGTAAAACTGTACCAACACATTAACATTGTCAAACTTCTGGTTTCCATATGGCTCTTCCATGGACGCTGCCATTTTTTTCATATTTTCAGTCACTTTGGCTGTTTCCGTAGGTAAACAAATGGACGTGGTTGTTGGCATCCGGTCACAACGTTAGAAAATTAGATGTGACACCAACCTTTAGGACAAACTCCAGCTTTTTTTTTTTCAATATTTCCCCTCAACTTACAGCGTTCATATATCTTTTTATAGACTTGGCACCAAAACCTTTTTAATGAAAGCATTGTTTTGCCCATCTTTCATTGCATTTGTCATAATTCCTCTGCTCACAATAAAGGTTTTGTAACCATAAATGAGAAAAACAGCAACTAACTCAAACTTGTTCAGTGTCTCTAGTGATTTAACAGATTTTGTTTATGGTCATGAATTTGAATATGGATTTAATTTTTTTTGCACATCTTCATGCCTTTGCAATAAGTTGACGCTTTATTTGAATTGTTTTTATGTAGTCTGATCAGTGTTCTATATAATAAAGTTCTTGGCTTTTTTTGATGTCCCAGCAGCCTCCAGAGGAAGGATTCATTTGGTAAGCTCGTGCTGCTCCAGATGATTTGTTAGTTGTTGGCTGTAGGTGTAGTCCCGTCTTTGGTTTAGTTTTGGGGACAAATCATGTCTGGACATGGGTTCTCCTCAGGAGCTAAAAGACTGAAACAGTAAAGGGCTGCATTGACTTACAGTCTGATCAGATTAGTCAGCCTATTTTTAAATCAGTAGATGTTTTATTCATGTATCTTAACGTCCATAAAGTGTGTCATCTTACATATGTCCATCTAAATCCATGGTGGTGTTATCTGAGGGACTTCCCTGTCCTCATTCTTATCAAGTTATTGCACCATTTCCTGCTTTGGCGTTAACCTTGGTGTTTCTGTGACCATTTTAGGTTCTTACTGAAGTATCACTTTTTCCTTTTTCCATTTATCTTTTCTTGGTTTTTTGCTTTCTTTTCAGCCCAAAAAAGACCTTCACTTCCTCATGGAGACCAACAATGAATACAAAGGTCTTCTCGGATGCTTCCCTGACACCATTGGGGTCCATAAGGTATATCCTCTTTTTTTGTTTGTTTGAAACAGGAAATATGACGAGTGACTTGTCAACATGTCATTAATAAAAGCAGCACTCATTCTGATGGACCAGCACAGGACTAGTTCACAGACAAGTTTAGGAGCTCCGTAAGCTGGGTTTATTTTTTTTTAAAGTAAGAACTATGACACAAATATACCACGAATATCGCTTATATATAGCTATCTGCTGATTTATTTTATTTTTTTCTGTTTTAGCATGAAACAATGTATTTGTGCCCTGCGTTCATATTTTATAGGAGATCTTACTGGTAAAGATGTCCTGCTGCTTCAGAGATCAAATGTTACTCTGATCAAATTTAGTACAAGTTGTCTAAACAATGAAAATCTTCGAATGAATTATGTTTCACACCTAAACTAACAAATGGACCTTGTCCTGCCTTTAGCACATTCATCCCACAGATTAATGACGTTCACACTCTTTGTAATGTAAAAGGAGTAAAACGGTGAAGTCATCTTGACAATCAAAAAATGTTTCTCGACACTCTTATTGAAATGTTATACAGTAGTCCCTTGTTTATTGTGGGAGTTACATTCTGTAAATGAAAAACCGTGAAGTAGGAACGCTATATTTATTTTAGTATTTATATATATATTAAAGCTTTAGAAACCCTTCCCACACTCTTTCAATGTTCTAAACTCTTAAACTTCTGTCATTTTAACAACATGTGTATATGTACTGTACAGTAACTACGTACTGCAAACAAAAAACACACAATGGTCCTGATCGAGTCCAAATCCAGATGAAAAATGTCCCGTGGAGCTCCAAAGAAAACACCGGACCTCCAAGCAACGCCTCCCCGCTCGAAAGGCCTCATGGGCCGACAAGCAGCACTCGGATTGACCGATGAGGCTGGAAGTACGGTTCTGGTCCAATTTCCGGTCAGTTCCGTACAGCTCTTTGCATCCACTGAGCGCCGAAGTCACTATGAATAAGGACCAAACTTTTTCGGATCAGATCAAAACTTGCCCTCCATTTCTGCAGAAAGCAGCGACCGAAAGTGCTTCTTGGGGCTTCTGGGAAATGTAGTCTTTTTGAGCAGCAATACAATGTAGGCTTATTGAGAGAAGACTACAAAATGGCGGCGCCTGTCCGAAGTATTTTAATTTTTTTAACCTTTTACTGTATCCCATACAGTTCCAATCACATGAGTAATATTAAAGTTGACAATCGTGTCGTGTACAACCTTTTTTTTTTCCTTGTGTACTGCAAAAGTCGAACCGCGAAGTAGCAAGGGACTACTGTACATGTTGCATTAGCAGATACTCAAATGTCATCATCTTCTCCATGAAAACACTCTGTTGTTACAACAAACAGATTTGTTACGCTTGGTATTTTGACTAATCTTAAAAAATATATTTTTGTAGCTGATATGATTTATTAACACAAAAAGAACTGTTTACACATAGGTGTCTTGAAGGATTGTCCATTTGTCTATAAGAGTAGCTCAACAAATAATGGACACTTCAAATTAATAGTAAAAGGGAGACTCAGTCTCGGGGGTAGTGGTGACTTGAAAGAAAAATAATGATCCTTAGTTCATAACAGACAGTTGCATTTGGATGTGCTTCTTGTGAATTTAGAGGAATTTGAAAATAATGATGATGATAATGCTGTCAAAATTTTGAATTCACAAAACCATAAAAAAAATTAAAGGTGTTATAGAAACTCTCTCTCATTAATGTTGTTTACCCAAAAGAGCCACACTCAATGGCAGGAGAAGATTTTTTAAGAGTCTTTTTTTACTTGCAAGGACCCATTCAAGACAGATTACATCGATACATAATGCATGGGACATGTCACAGAATGAGCGTCGTATAGTTTACTGCAGACTTTTATACAGCAGCAGAGACCAACGTGTGTTCCCTTGTAGCCGGCTGCAGTCAGCCGTACAGACATAGATAGGTACCATATTTTTCGGACTATAAGATTATAAAGTGCATTAAGCAAAACACAACAGTCAAATTAGTCAAACTTTATTCAACTCATTCACAATAACCACATAGAACCAGTTTGAGGTCAGTAAGCACAACCAGAATTAATACATAAGGTGCACCTGATTATAAGTCTCACTGTCAATTTTTGAGAGAATTAAAGGATTTTAAGTGCACCTTATATTCTGAAAAATACGGTCCTTTATTAATCCCAGGGGCAAATTCAAGACATGATTCATGGCCGTCGGCGAGTCAGCCTCCAGATGGAGATAAGAGAATGTTTTGGGCATGTTCTCATGGCGATGACACCAAGGAGGCACTGCGAGACGACCTCAGGTCAAGATAAGAGAGTGTCCTCGTAGACAGCAGGTTCTCAGAGTAGAGGGAAATATGTTTCTAAGCCATCTCAGAAAAACACAATAAAACATTCATAACACTTGACCGAAAATTCTCTGACAGTAAGCAAAGTAAAACATATCCAAACTCTTACTATCCTAAGAGTCAGACAAAGTCTGAATCCAAGTCTGTGCTGGAAAGTGCAGGAACAAGAAGTGACACAACAGCTTCAACTTCCTATTGCATACAGTTAATAACATTTATTTCTTGAACTCTACAAAGAGAAGCTTTAAGAAAATTAGTTGTAAACCATTTCCATTCAGAACAACATAATTTTATACATCTACTGCATTTGTTCTATCTGAACGGAGGATAAGTTTTGTAGTGAAATGGCAAAAGAAGAGCTAGAGAAATAAAAAGTGTTCCTCGGTTTGTTCACTGGCACAATTTAAAGTCTCATCTAAGCCTACCGTATTTTTCGGCCTATAAGTTATGTTTTTTTTTTTTTGTTTTTTTTTTGTGCGTAATTTTCCTGCCCTGCGACTTATACAACGAAGTGATGTATTTATGGATTTTCCCCCCATGTTTATAAACAAATTTTTGGCTGAGATCTGACCGTTTTCATTCATTCTGACTGAAAATATTAAACACTACCATGTTCAGCCGCTAGATGGCGCTCGAGCAGTATGGCATGCCATTGTGTCATGTAATAGGTAAAAGTAGCTATTAATGACACAATCGGCTTGCCATAACCTGCCACCTTTGTCCAGCTTGCCTGGAGCAACCGTCAAATCAGCTTCATTTCGCTACAATTGCTACAAATGTTAATACAATTAATTTGACTGTTAAAGTGCATTTATTAAGTAGAAGTTCAACTGAGACACACTTTTACTATAATGTCGAGCAAACAAATAATCGTTTTTAAGTGTTAATCTTGTTCGTATTTATGTATTTTTCCACTTTATTAAACATATTTGGACTGATGCGACTTATATGGGCGGAGCGATGTGTACGGTGGAAAATACGGTATATAGCACTTACAGGTGTTTAAATGTATTGATGAATCAAAAACGGCCTGGGTGAACCGATCAAGTTTGGGCTCTTTTGTTCCAGGCAGCCATAGACAAGGTGAAGGAAGGGGACAAGCTAGTGGCCACCAATAAAATCACCACTCAGGACAAAGGCATCATGGCCAAACGTCTCAGCACGATGTCTTATGCCTTACAAGGTAGGACCTCGCCTCAGTCAGCATTAGCAGTGAGGTTCGTCATGCCATGCCATCTGATCTCCCTGGTTTTTCCTTTGTGGCGCAGCTGAGATGAACCACTTCCACAGCAACCGAATCTATGACTACAACAGGGTCATGCAGTTGTACCTGGAGGAGCAAGTCAAGTTTTACGAGACGGTAAAGGCATTTATATTGCCCATTCATTCAGTAGATTGGAGTCTGTTACAGTGTGACGTTTTCATTGCCTTGTTAACTGAGAAGCAGCTGAAGAGCCTAAACAGGTAAACGTTTGTACTGACGTAAGCTTTTCCTTCTGATTTTTCCAGATTGCTGCAAAGCTGAGACAAGCGCACAGTCAGTTCACTACAATGTGACAGCAGTCTCACACTACAAGACGAGAAGATAAAGCAATCCAAAACGTTTTCTGCTTGTCTCGCATTTACGCTGTCCCCAATATAAATTTCACTTCTTCTTTTCCTTCATGCTGACCTCATCTTTTCTTTTTCTTCACATGCCAACAGTTGCAGCTCTTGCCCTTACTTAACTCCGCTACTCTGAGGTTGAAGCACGCTCAGGGGTGCCAGAGTTGAGAAGGCTTTGACGTTCGTTTTAGGTGAACACGTGATTTTTTTTTATTTTTTTTTTTTTTTTACAAACACGCTTTCCTTTGTCCAAGGTCCATCGCTTGTAACAGGAAGTCAACATCCTTTTTTGCTCTTTGAGAATTTTTTTCATCGCAGGAGTGTTGGTCTCTGTGATACAGTTTTTGTACAACCTAGGGTGTAAACATGGGATCATGTTAAAAGTTTTACTCAACAGTTTTTTTTTTTTTTTTTTGGTCATGCGTGTACTTAAATGGTAAAGTATGTGCAAAACCTTGCTTTTTGCATAGTTATGTAGTGATTTTTCACCAAAAACCAAAGTCACACTACTTTCCATTAAGGTAATTTCCAAACAGAATGTGCCTTAATTGCAATTTAAAGCTTTACCGTTCATTGTTCAGACAAAACCTGCTTTATTCTAGCTGTTCTGGCTCCTTAAATACCAACTCTGTTCATGAGTGATTCAAATTATGCAGATTCATGTTTGTTTTAAACTGCAAGCTTTGGAAGAGTAGGAAAAGGCAGCCTGTTGTCCTCAGCATGTCCACTGCTGGCAGTGCTTTCCTCCTTTGTCAATATTGCGCTTCCTCAAAAGCTAACAGGAAGCCTCACCTTCTTCCTGCTTTATCCACATTTCTTATGTCTTAGAAAGTCAGTTCCAGCCCTCTTCAATCAGACTGCAGCACACCTTGTGACGTGAAAAAACTGTAGGACGATGAACACCGAACCTGAGATGTGGCTCGTTACTCATTAGATTTTTGCATTTATCGTTAAAGTCTGACTCAGACTTCAGTCAGACTGAAAAACTACTTCCTTTTTGTTGAACTTGTGCAAACAAAATGTTCTTGCTTGAAGAAATTGTGGCGATGATGGGTGTGAAAGTGTTGCTGCAACAACAGTCATTGGTCCTGGATTATGTCATGTATCAAGTTTTTTTTTTTTTTCCTGCTTCTGCTTTATTAACTATTTTCTTATCACTTGTGACAATAAAAATATAAATAAATTTATATGTATATGTATTCTATTGGACCTGCCAGATGGTTCCTGCCTTTACAATATTTTATGTATAGAAGTATTTGCTATATAGTGTCATTGAATGAGGAGCAAATTTTGATTTATTAAACAATGATTTGTATTCACGGACTTGTCCTTTTGTGAGTGTGTTTGAATGAGTGTTCTCTGCATGGTGCCTCGCTCTCACTACAGCACTCGATTCTTCCGTGGATGTGGATGAGAATAAAAATGAGTCGGTATCTCGTGTGAAGAAAGCGTGCTGTGTCTTCTAGTGAAGGAAGTGAAAGGTTTTATTTTTTCTCCCTCGTATTTGGCTGTCGCTGCTATCAGGTGCAGCTGGATGTTTGAGCCCACAATGTTCTGATAAGGAAAAATCAACCCAGAAGATCCACTGTTGTCATGTTGGTTATTTTTAAATACCTGTGCTACAGTGTGTTGATTGCTTCACTGAAGCCCTAATTTCACAACGGTGGTGGCAAAAGAAAATATGTCTTCAGACATTTTTTTTTTAAAGGAGGGTTACAACCATTGTGTTGCGTTATTAATGGGATTTTATTTTAAATGATGACTTTTCATTTGTTTTCATGTTGCGTTAATTTTGTTTGTCAAAACGCATTTAATGTACACAACATGCTAAAAATATTTTTATGAAGTATTACACTTTTTGTCTTTAAAGGGGTACTTCCATTATTTAATAAACAATATTTTACCTGTTGTAGATGGGTCTTTGGATGACCTCAGTTTGGGAGAAATTGATTTTTGTTGGATTGTTAAGCTAATGGCTAGTCAAGCAGGGCCAAAACCAGTTCTGAATATAACCATCAACTCCAGTCTCCACTCATGAAAACACTATTTATTTTATTTTATAAACCATTACATTACTATTAGATTTGCATTAAATGACAATTCATCACCATGGAGTTTTGTACTTGCTAGCACAAACAGCACAAACTGCAGTATCACCTAGCTGTAGCATGTCTGCTGCAGTCTGGAGCTCATGCAGCAGGAATATAATGTTTCTGTTGTAATAATTAAATCTGAATTAAGCGGCAGTTTTTTAAAGTTTTCATTTACCCTTTATTTATACGGTAGTCTCATTGAGTCACGAGAACTCATTTTCAAGAGAGACCTGTTTAGAGAGCAGATGGTGGGGGTTGAGGGACTTGCTTAGGGGCCTAGAGTGGGGCAAATGAGGGTGGAGGCAGGTGTGGGTGTTTTACCTTTTCCACCCACATTTTGATGTTGATGGTACCAAGAGTTGAACTACAAACTCTGACGTATTTTAGATTTGGGGAGTGGTGGCGCAGAGGTTAAGAGAAGATGGGCCTGTGATCGGAAAGTCGTACGTTCAACTCCCGGTACCGTTAACATCAAAATGTGGGTGGACAGAAAACAAGACAGAAACTTGGCTACGACAGAAGGATTTTGTTAGTATAAATGAATCCACTCCTGTTATTTAAATTTTCATGTTCCTAGAAAAAGTGGCCGAGGTGGAGGAGTAGCTTCTATTTTTCAGTCAGGATTATTGATTAATGCCAAACCAGTTATTAGTTATGATTCTTTTGAATCGCTGTCCCTCGGTCTTTCTCATCCAAAATGGAAATCAGAAAAGCCACTTTTACTAGTTATTATATCTCGTCCACCAGGCGCTTACTCTCAGTTTTTGTCTGAATTCTCAGAATTTAGTAATAGTCATTGCCTTGTGCGGATTAATCCTCCTGAAGGTACTCCTTACTTCTGCTGAGGTCACGCTGAGATGCTCTTCATCAGGTGGTGAGGTGAGTCTGGTGCTGGGTGGTCTGTTCGGGTCTTCAAAGCGTGCCTAGAACTTGTTGAGGGCATCAGGCAGAGATGGTTCTTTGGGGAATTGTTCACTCCTTTCTTTATAGTATGCACTTAATGCCCCTCCACATGCTCTGAGGGTCTTGTGAGGTGAATTGACCCTCAATCCTCTGTGCATATGTGGCCTTGGCCCTCTTAATACCAGCAACCAGCTCTTTTCTTGTCCTACTCAGCTCCTCTTGAGTTTCCAGACCTGAAGTCAGTGTTTCTGGCTTCCAGCAGGGTACGCACCTCTGCATTTAGCCAAGGTTTTCTGTTTGGGTAGCTTTTAACATTTCTGATAGTGGAGACGTGTCAATACTTGTACTAATGTAACCCAGAACCCAGGATGTGTATTGGTCCAGAGCAAGCGATCCTCCATTTTCAGCAGCTTCTCTGAAAAAAAAAAAATACATGAGGCCCCAGGATTTTAGAATAGATTCTAAAATTACCTGGAGTTTATTTGACATCATTGTTATATTACATTACATGCCTACTTTGATCTGCTGTAGACTTTTTGTTTAAACCTCTTATTTAACTTGTGAACATTTAATTTTCATGGACACGCTGAGCACCGTGCAGAGAAGACTTTGACGAATAATTCATTTTAAGACAACTTAGTGCAAACTGTTTGTTTACTTTACAAAGCTCAGTTTAGTATTTTTGTACATTTTACTAATGAAATGGAAACAAATTGTCTTTTAGATTAACATCTAATTTGCAACCTGCAGTCGGTTGCGTCCACACAAAACTAGTTTTTGTAAAAAGAGTGAATATGAATTTTGTTTCTGCATTAAAATATTTAAAAGTCAAACATGAAGTTTAAAATAATTCAATCATAAACTGATGGTTGTTTGGTTTGCGCTGACCTTCAATGATTCAGAGTTAGCTTTAGCACACTAACCTGTTGAAATGAATCCACCTGGTTAAAGTGCTGCTTACCCCTCGCCGGCAAAGGTGGAACATTTATTTTGCCTGTGTGTTTGCTTGTCTGCACCGTTAGCAAAATATCTAATGAACCAGTACAGCGTTGAATGGCATGTCTACAACGGACTGACTTTAAGGGATAACCCAAGTAAAGATGGCCGCCACATCTAATCTTTGCCAACATGAAAATATCTAAAACTTTCTATTTATTGTCTGAAGGTTTATTGAGCATTCACACCTGATCCATTGTTGTTCTGTCCGTTTGTGTCAGAGTTGAAACAGATCACTGGTCCAGATATGATTTATTCTCTGAAGACATTTTTGAGCTAGTTCAACATTCCTGCTATGATTTTTGGTAGTTTTGCAACTTTTACGTTTTGAAATATTTAGCTTTGCTGTCCATCCCTTAGCAAAAAGTAGTTTATTTAAGTATAATACAAGTGAACCTATTTTACACTAAAAATGAGGAAGTGCACTTGAAGTTTACTTTTTATAAACTTTATATGATATACTTAAAAATAGAATAAAAATGTCCCAATTTAGTCCAAACAAGTATTAAATCAGTATACTTCTAGTACCCTACAAGTATGGTGTGTAGTATACTTGATAAACTTATACTTAACTTAAAGTATATTTGCAAAAATGAACTTCAAATGTACTATTTTTTGTTAAAGGATGTTTTTCAATAATAAACAAAGACAAAGTTTTCTGAATCGCTCTCAGTCTGGCCCCAAACTTAAGCCCTTTTCCCACAGTTCCTCTTTGGGCCCGCTTTACCCAGCTCAGGCCAGTTCTGTGTTCTTTTCCACAGGACCTTCTTCATGGAACCGACCTGTTTTTTCAGTACCTACTTCTCTGCGGTTCTATTGAGGCCAAGCAGGACCCTAAACATGAGTCAGAACACTGTTGGTCATTGATTGGTCAGTGGGAGGAGTCACTGGATCTTTCAGAAACTTTTCACACGCCATTTGCATTTACTTGGAACCCGGAGCGGCAGCTGGATCTATTTTAAAGATTTTAAAAACAATAATGACAACACCGTGGTCTAAGAAATGCTGAAGTGCAGGTGTTTTTTGTGCTTTGTGGCCGACGATAAAATTCAGAGCGAGCTTTATGGAGCACCACCTGTCTCACCGGTCCTCTCCCCTGGAGCCTCAGAGCCAGACCGGGCCAAGGAGTTCCCCATCACCTCCCCGTCTCTGAGCGCCACTGGTCACCGCGGAAGATCCTCCGTGCTGCCAGCTCGGGCTCCAGATCCCAGACTTGCGGGCTCCAAGCTCCACTGATCACCACGGAGGATCATATGAGCTGGGGACTTGCAGAAGGCCGTTGCCCGGACCCCGACCTCGCGTAATCATGAAGGTCGAACTCCGATCCTGGCAGGCAGGCGGACCGGGGACAGACGGTGGAACCGATTTTTAAAAACATTTTATGTATAAAAATAATGTTTTTTTTTTTTTTATCAGTGAAGATTTAAAAAATAAACGGTGCCGGCTTTATCACGAAATCCTGTTTTCATTTTAATGGCTATTAAATAATCTGTTAAAGTTAACTCAACTGAAAAATCACAAAAAGACAAAATTATTGGGATTGCTGGACATGGGCACCGGCGACCCCCGTGACCCAAAATGGAACAAGCGGGTAAAGAAAATGGATGGATGGATGGACAAAATTATTGGATCTCTCAGGAATATTTCCCTCAAACATGTTTAAAGAAGAGATACAGCCTTTAGTTCAACTTTATTTTAACCCACAGATGTACAAATCACAAAACAAGAATAAAACCTAATCTCCACCATTTGCTCCCCAAAAAGCAGGTCTCTCTTGAAAATGAGTTTTCGTGACTTAATGAGACTACCTGTATAAATAAAGTGTAAATGAAAATGGAAACAAACAAAAAAAAAGTAAACAGCAATGCATTTTGTTCCTTGTCCCACTCGGACTAGAATGTGAATTTACAATTAAATTTCATTTCTCTAAACTGAGGTCGCTCAAAGAGCTATTAGAAACAGATTAATAGTATTGAGGGTTCACAGAACTTTTCATCCAAAGACCTGCAGTATCTCTTTAGGGGAAAAAAAAGCTGTTTATTGCTCACTCCTTTTGGTTTGCACGATTATACACAAACATTCCAACACTGTAACCTGTGGACAGTAGGGCAGAGCTTAGTTAAATGTATAGATCTTCTGACAGACACTACAGCAGGCACAGTCTACATAGTTTAGAGCAGGGCTATTCAACTGGCGGCCTGCGGGCCATTTCCGGCCCGCAGGTGACTTCAATCTGGTCCATTTCATTAAAACAAACAAACAAAAATAGATATAAAGAAAAAAGGTTTGTAGGCTCAATCATCCAGTTAGATAACAATAATAATAATATAAAAAATTATATATATATATATATATATATAATTTTTTTTCCTCCGTGTACTCGGGTTTCCTCCCACAGACCAAAAACATGCATGTTAGGCTGATTGGTAACTCTAAATTGTCCCTAGGTGTGAGTGAGAGACTGAATGGTTGTTTGTCTCTATGTGGCCCTGTGATGGACTTGTGACCTGTCCATATCCGGCCCCGAGCTGTTGGATGTCAGAAACTGTGGCCCCCTTGAGCAGTTTTTTTGAATAGCTTTGGTCTACATAGAAAGTTTAAGATCAGGACTATTGATCCAGAATTGAGCTAAAAGTCTGGTTGGATCAGCAAACGGTATCCATGGCTCAGCTGTTCAGACAGATTGAGAGTAAAGAATAATTGTTTGCTAGTCCTTCATTTCTTCTTCCCCAGTAATCAGTTTCACAGATTGTTAAAAAAGCCAGTGTCCACATGATGAAAAGATGGAGTTTCTTCTGTATCTTTTCTTCCAGAAGATGGTCTGTGTCTGAATAGTTTGCTCCAAACTTTCCTTGATCCGGAACATTGTCATTTAAGAACAAAAAGTTCTTTGTTGAATGGCACAATTGTTGATGGTATATAGTGCACAGTAATACCACGTTCCAGAGCCCAGCCGATATTTTGGTAGGGCCAATATTTAAGCCAATAGCCTATAGACATTTGGAGACGAATCAGTATTGGTGATAATTGTCCCATTTTGCTCCGATATAAGCACTTCTTATTTTCACCCCTAAAATGCTGGAAGTGAGCCGTTTCCTTATTTGCAAATGATGTAATTGTACAATGTGTCTAGCAAAAGGTGCATGCAGACTTTCAAGTCATGGCCATGCTGCACACTTGACTCAGCACAGCCAAGAGGAGACCAAAGAAGCAGGGAGCCATACTGTGCAGCATATTTTTGCTGAACAGAGCATAGTAAGTTTATTGTAACTGAGCAGTAAAATAAATAAATAAAATCAATAATACTCTTCAATCCTTCAGCCCGCTTGTCATTAGCTACGTGCCTCTTAAGTTAGCAAGCTAACGTTCAGATAATTTAGTATAATGCCTTGTAAAAATTTAGCCAGAACAATAAATCTAATGTAGGTTTTAAAAAAATCAGCGTTTGTAATATCTTTGTCATCCTCAATGAAATACATTGTTTGTCTGAAATATTTACTCCCTGCAAAGAAAGAAAAAAACACTTGCAGTCAATACTAATTAGGCTTTCACCATATGTGACTGAGTGTTTAACAATGAACAGGAAAGGACGTTTTTATGTTTAGTTTTTATTTTTGTAACCCACTTGATAACTTTATGGCGAATAGTGGAGGTTAGAAAGTGTGAACGCACGTTAGGAAGACTGTTTTTATGACCAGTGCACCACTTGTAAACCTAGTGTGGGACTATGTCATGGATCTGATTTGTTTCGCTTCATGGTTACCAACTGCTGTGCTAATAAATAAGCAAGCCCCTCACCCCTCCAAAGCACAGACATACTGTAGTATGGACACAAATCATGTGGTCACCCCCAAACATAAGTGGCACGTGTAAATACAATAGTCAGGGTTAATATATCGGTTATTGCATTGGCCTCCCCGCCCAATATCGGTATTGATGATAGCCAAAATTTCCATATCAGTCGGGCTCTAGTTCCAGCTGCTTCTGGTTCATACCAAACCTGTGCATTGAAGGTTCTTGGCCCATTCCTGACCTTCTAGACCATTTTTCCTCTCCTTTTACAATGACAGTTTGCAAAGTCTAAAAGAAGCACCAAAATCTTATACTTTACAGTCTTAAGAAGAGCAGAATATGAGTTATTTTTCATGGTGTCAACTAAGTCAAAGAAATCTTGATTTTTTGGTAATTTAGTAGATCCAGTCACTGACAAATAACCGCTTGTAATGGTTAGCAATGCAATAGTTATCTTGCCCTAGAGTCATCTCCTTACTGCTGCGAGGGATGCTAGTTCCTCTGTCCAGACCGTTGTCATGGTGACTGTTGTTCAGGGCGACAATTGGGCATGGAAGCTGCGCGGTCGGACCATCATACTGACTTTGCGTAGAGAGTAATAATCAGAGTCTTTCCAGGAGTACCAAACTATCCCGTCGGGACCCAGTGGGCCCCTTCCTTTTGGGGCATAATGGCCTCCCTGCAGAATAATAAAATAAAAATAAAAAACTGTTATACATCTTGTTAAAAAAAAAAGAAAAAGGCTATACGAGAAGTTTTCTCCTCACTCTTACCCTGTAGTAGACTCCATTCAGGTTGGCATAGAAGCATTGGTTGTACCACCAGCCTCCATGTGAGATTTCAGCACAGATGTTGCCACTGTCTGGTGTACTGAAGCCCTGCTTGTCATGATACCAGCTGAAGGAGTCCTGCACTGTTCCACTGAAGCCTGACACATGAAGACGGTACTGATGCTCTTCACCATCCACACTGCACACACGTAGCCAATGAGCAAAAACAACACAACAGATTTTACAATAATCACTTGCATGCGTTTTTACCTGAAGCTCTGGTAGAGGGCATGTTTGTGCCGGTTGCTCCAGTCCTCCAGGTCGATGCGGAGGCTGTAATCTCCCTGGATGGTCAGGTCATGTATGTGGTTGTTGCCCAACCAGAACTCTGTGTGCAAGTCACCAAATCCATCCCTGTAATCTCTCCAGTTGCGATCAAAACTCACTGAACCGTCAACTCGGCGCTGGATCACACTCCAGCCACCACCTGAAGGCAAAAACGAAAACGGTGTATAAAGTCCTGGAATAATCATGGAGGATTATAATAAGAAACTAAAGCTATACTGCACAGAAAAATGGGTAAATTCACCCAAATGCTTGGAGGAATTTAGATATACTTTGAAGAACAGGCATTATTTTAATACAAAGAGTAATGATTCAACATATTAGTGTTTTGGTATTAAGTCCCATGTCATGCACATGTCCAATAACTGGGACTCACCATCTGTATCCATGTCACAGTAAACCTCCACAGGCATGCCTGCCAGTAACGGCACCACAGTGTAGAGACCTGACCTCCTCACCCCACGCTGGTAGATGGAGGCACAGTCCATGGGACAGTTCCCCACGTGCTTTATACCTGAGAGAAAGTTGTGCATGACTCAGACAACATAAAAATAAGTATTTGTCTCCCTTTGGTGTCAGATCTGTGCTTGATCTTGTACCTGCGTGCATGGCTTGTGGAGTATTTTGTAAAGGATTGGGATGGACAATATTGACTGAACAGCCAGGGCTTTGGTTTACTTTATCCACAGAAAGAGTCAGATTATGTAGTTGGTTCTGGACAATTAAAAAAAAAAAAAAGTTGATTGAACAATCAGAAATTGTGTTTTTTTCATATCCAAAAATACAGGAAAAATAACTCAATCATACTGTGATAAGGGAAGGAGTGCACCTGCAGGTCCAGGATCAGTGTTCCCTGTAAATGCAGCAGGGAGGTGGCCTGAGTGTAGTGGACCTCCAGCTCATGGAAACGCAGCTCCAAGGAGACGTTCAGGTGGGCTTTCTCTTCACTCTGATGGAGTATGTTCAAACACACAAAAACAAATGGTCTTCAAGTGAGCCAGATATGCTTTAGGTGCAGACTGATGGGTAATCAAATACAACGCAAATACCAAATAAGTTGGGATTATGTGTAAAATGTAAATTAAAACAAAATGCAATGATTTTACAAACTTTATACACCCGTAGTTTATGCACAATAACATTTAATAAGCATATCAATGTTTTGAACTAAGAAGTTGAATCAAATTATGAAAAATAAAATATTAAGTTTGATAGCAGCAGCACATCTCAAGAAAGTTGAGACACGTTCATGTTTACAAATGTGAAGCTTCGCTTTCTAACAAAACATTTAAGAACTGAGGAGACCAGTTTTAGGAGTTTTTACAGGGCGATGTCTCATTCTTGTCTGATGTTGGATTCTAGCTGTTCAACTATCCTGGATTTTCTTTGCCATAGTTTACATTTCATAATGTAAATTGTTCTAAAACTTTTATATATGTTTCTACATTGATGGCGTTTTTCCAAATTTGTTTATGCTATAGGACACTAATGCACCCCCATATCATTAGAGAGGCAGGCTTTTAGACTGTGTGCTGATAACAGACTGGATGGTTCCTTTCCTCTTTATTACGAGGATATTATATTCATGGTTTGCATAAATAATTTCTTATTTTGATTTATCTGACCACAGAACAGTTTTCCACTTTGCCTCAATTTCTTTAACTGAGCTTTGGCCCTGACAAGCCATGGTTCTTAATAGTGTTTACACCTTCTTCTTTGCATGATAGAGCTTTATTCTGCATTTGGGGATGGCACAGTTAACTGTGTTAACAGATAATGATTTGTGGAAATGTTCCTGAGCCCACACAGTGATGTCCAGAACAGAATCAGTTGTTTTTAAGTTTTAAGACCTGAGCGCCTGAAGATCACCACCATCCAATCTCGACTTTCTGCCTCACCCTTTGAGCTTAGAGATTTCCCCAGATTTATGAAATTTTTATGATTTTATGAACAGCAGATAGGGTATACAAAGTCTTTACAATTTTCTACTGAGGAACATTATTTTGAAAGGTTTCCACAATCTTTGACAGTTTTTAGTCAGCCTAGCTTCCCTTTTGAGAGATTCAGCCTCTCTATTGTCTTCAGTTATCTTACTGACATTGTTTCCAATTCATCTATCATCCATCCATTATCTTTTACCCGCTTCTTCCATTTTTTGAGTCACGGGGGTCACCGGTGCCCATGTCCAGCAATCACTGTGTGAGAGGCAGGGTACACCGTGGACAGGTCAGGTCAGGTCGCAAGTCCATCACAGGGACACATAGAGACAAACAACTATTCACTCTCTCACTCACACCTAGAGACAATTTAGAGTTACCAATCAGCCTAACATGCATGTTTTTGGTCTGTGGGAGGAAACCGGAGTACCCGGAGAAAACCCACGCATGCACGGAGAGAACATGCAAACTCCACCCAGAAATGCCCCCAGACCTGGATTTGAACCGGGGACCTGCTCGCTGTGAGGCAGCAGATCTCCCAGTTGCGCCACCGTGCTCCGTGTGTTTCTGCCGTATTATTAAAAATTATTATTATTTTCCTATAAAAATTGCATAATTTCTTAAGATTTTGATGTGGTGAAGGCTGCGCAGAAGACTGTTGGAGTCAGCCTCCACACCATCACAGACATCTACACCTCCAGATGTAGTAAGAGGGCCACTTGCATCGTGAAGGACCTCACTCACCCAGTACACACTTTTTGCCCCATTCCCCCCAGGCAGAAGGTTGAGAAGCATTAAGTGTAGAACCACTTGACTGAGGAACAGCTTCTATCCTGAAGCTGTTAGACTCATGAATCTCTAACCAGAATAATCACTTTGAAAAAAAAAATCACAGCAATGCCACTTTGATTGTTGATATATGCTGCTGATCTCATGCTGCTGATCTCATGCTGCTGTGTTTATTCGTACTCATCTGCTCAGACAGACTCATGTTCGTGCTGCTGTTGTTCAGAGTATTATTTTTTGCACTATTAAGTATTTAGCATATTCTTAGTTCATATCTTAGATCTTATTACTGTTTTTCTTTACAATTTATACTTCTGTTGGATGTAAATGGGGCTCTGTGTACACAATTTTTTTCCACCACATGTACCACATGTGATGCGTATGACAGTAAAGAACCTTGATCTTGACCTTGACCTGTTTATTACGTTCCACTGTGGATATTATATAGGTTTATGAAGTGTGCAAATCATTGTATTTTGTTATATTTATATTTTACAATAAGTCCCAATTTGTTTGGAAGTGGCGTTGTATATGAACCTAAATTAAAAGTGGACGTCATATTTCTTTTATAAATCAGAAAATACTGTTTTTATAATCTAAAGTTCAAGACCAACCACTCACATTCTTGATCTATGTTATGTTTGCACATAATAAATCCATGAGCCACTATAACTTTCATTAAAACAAACCCCAGCGCTGCTCTCTTCTACCATCCACACTGGCTGATCCAGCTGAGTCTTTTTGCTTAAGCTCATCGCCTGAGACACACGAGGCAACACGTGAAGGAGTAGGAGGCTGATCCTGTTAGTGACTCAGGTCAAGGACATGCTCGGATGGAAGCCAGCTTTGTCACCAAGCACCACGTCAGAGTATACGCATTAGTTCAAACAAGTAATGTCAGTTTGGGTAGAAGGATCATGAACCATCAGCTAGACTAAAGCAAACACTAAAAAGCAGCTGAAGGGATTGCAGCTGACTGATGACACACATCGGCTCTTAGTCACCTGCAGCTCTAGGATTTTGATGCGATGCCGGTGGTTCCTGAGTTCCTCCTGCAGCTCAGAGATGGTCTCCTTCAGAGCCAAAATCTGCTGCTTCCTCTCCTCGTTTTCCCGCAGCCAGTAGGAAACCTCATCCGTGCAGTGAAACAAATCCGGACATCTTCGCTCGTCCCGCTGAGGCAGGGTGGCCATGAGGCGACACATCCCATCCTCCATAAGCTGAAAAGGATTTGGTCAAGAATAACCATATTAATATACACTGCCAATCAATTCGCCACCAATCAAAGCTTAACAGAAGAACCCAGTTTGTAAATAACTAATTATAGCCTGCCAATAGACAATAATGTCTGTTTGAATTGATCTGTTAGCAAAATATCTCACTAACCAGTAGATCAGGGGTCTGCAACCTTTATATCTAAAGAGCCATTTTACACCTTCGTTCACTAAATGAAAAGTGTTCAGAGCCGCAACAACATGCTGCAACTGTGGTTATCAACTGGTGGCCCATGGGCCACTTTAGGTTTGTTGAATGGGCCTTTTGTGGCCACTAGGGGAGACATTATAAAGATAAAAATGACAATATATATTTTTACAATTTAAGACAAATGAAAAGACCAAATTCTTTTAAAGAGAGGTTTTTTTAAATAAATAAAAACTATGAACTATGCAGACCTAGGTGATTTTTTTTTTAATTGTGGAAAAATCAATTAAGTATAGAAATAAAGCATAAAGTTAAAGTGGGTATGTTTTACTCCTTGTACTTGTTCCAGCATTCACATATTTGCAAAATAAATAACAGGAAAACTGCCAAAACTATCATTAGTCCTTTTTTTGGTTTTTGTATAACAACCAATAAAATTCAGTTTTATTATAGTTTTGGTTAAAGACTTGAAAGAGCCGCTGCAGAGGGACCAAAAAGCCGCATATGGCTCCAGAGCCGCAGGTTGCAGACCCCTGCAGTAGATGGATTTTAACAAAACTTTCTGAAATTAATCATTTGGTGTAGAACTACAACTTATTAACTTTTGAAGTCTACTTGATTCAAGATGATCGTCAAAGCCAATAAAACTTACCAAACACAAAAATGTCTATAACTCTGTCTATTTTACAGATAATGAGCTAAATTATATGTGGCAGTAGAAAGTATGTGTTCCTTTAAAGTAGCACAAAGGTTTTTTTTTTTTTAATCTCTGATGAACTTGACAGTGAATGCTTGTTTCTCTGCCATCTCTTTCATGAAGATCTACAACTGAACACTGACGTCATAAACATGCAGTTTTGTTGTCTACCGATTATAAATGGAATTCAGCAAAGCAAGTAAAGATAAAGCTCTCCAAATTTCTACTTCAGCCATAATTTGCTTTGATAAATGTAAATAGAACTCTAAGTAGACTCAAAGTTTTCTTGCTATCAAATAAATACTGTGCTTGCCACCGTACACGTCGCAGCGCCGTATAGGTCGCATCTATTATGCGTCACCGCTGACCAATTAATCGACTGGCTGCTAAATGGTGACCGTGGGAGTGTGCATGGGAGGACTTTAACAAGAACTTAACAAAACAATTAGTTGTTTGCTCAACATTATAGTAAAGGTGTGTCTCAGTTGAACCTTTCCTTAATAAATGCACTTTAATGGTCAAATCAGCTGCATTTCGCCTGGGTGGCGCGGCAAAATAAAGTTGATTTTACGTTTGTTCCAGGAGTTCTGGAGCGAGACAAAGATGGCTGTATGGCAAGCCAAGTGTCTCATTAATAACCACTTTTACCTATTAATGAGACACTTGACTTGCCACGTTACTCGAGGGCCCTCTAGTGGCTGAAAATGGTAGTGTTCAATATTTTCCATGTCAGAATGAATGAAATCGTCAGATCTCAGCCAAAAATTGGATTATAAATATTGGGAAAAAACATAAATACGTTGGTTCGCTGTATAAGTCACAGGCATGCTAATTTATGCAAAAAACTGCGACTTATACAGCAAAAATTACAGTAAGTAAATAAATAAAATACAACTTTTTTGAGAATATATTACTTGCAGAAGCAATGACTTACAATGTCTATAATTGTTTATTTTAAGGCTGTTATTAGAACGTACACAATGGCTATTTAGTTCTAAGCACTTAAAAATCACAGAAGGTGACTGGATAAAAATCTAGAAAAATGAAAGGCCTGTTCAGGTACTACCACACCAAATTTTAGTTCAGTATCCATAAAACTGGCTGAACTGTAGCCCTCTTTCTGGTTATTCAGCTTTTTCAGATGTGGCACCCATTTCGAACAAAACTGACTTCATAACTGAATCAGCTGTAGATGCTACATCAAGCGATTATTGTGTTTCATTAAAATCTATCCACTGGCTCATGAGAGATGTCGCTAACCCTACAAACACAAAGTGGAAAATGATGTCCTTTCACCTTTGGCAGCAAATTATTAAAATATTCAGCCATGTTGATGAACCAAACCACAAAGAAACAGAAAAAACAGTCAATCAGGAACAACTACTTGAAGTTTTGTGTTTAAAATGGATCACCGGACCCTGGTGGAGTTTTAATCGTCTTGATTGGTAAAGATTATAGCATCTACTTGGCCAGCGCTCAATGAATAAGCTTGATTTAAACTAATCTGAGTGTATTCATCATATACATTTCATAGAGTAATTTTCTTCCTGTTTATGTCTGTTCTTGTGTGGGATCATGACTATGTGGAATTATTATAAAGTTTATTCATTTTTTAAAACAAAACAATTCTATAGACAACAAGAAATACAGTCACAAATAAAATGAAAGGCAGCAGAAAAAAGAAAAAACCTTATATCTTCCCCTTTTTTTTAACCAAAAAATGAATTCAAACAATAATAATCTTCAAATAACAAAAACAAAATAAATAAATCCTTCTCGAGCCACAATTTATACAAGTACACATTAAGCTACTTCATTTTTTTTTTTTTTTTAACAAATCAACAATGATCATTTTCTTAAACATACATATTGATCTGGCATTTTTAACATCACTCTCCAGATTATTCCATAATCTACTTTGTATTTCTTTGGATTGAAGTAGACCGTTCCTTCAAACTAGTTCTGAATTTAGGTTTCACAAATATCTCTATCCCATTAAGATTATAACAACTCTCTCTTTTAACAAAATTTAATAGGATATTTAAAGGTAATGCGCTATTATGAGCCTTATACATAACTGATAAAATATTATAATCTACCAAATCATGGTACCTCAATAACTTCAGTTGATAAAATAATGTACTTGATGGGTGACAAAAATGCTTTCTAGTAATAATTCTTCCTAAAAAACAAAGCAAACATGGATTTTCTCAGAGTCAACATGGTCAATCCCAGATTGATTATCCTATAGATCTGATTAATCTGTGAAGCCCCTAACAAAACAACCTGAGCAGTAACTGGGTCAGTGCTGCCTCGGTGTACCTGGTTTGTGTACTCCCCACACTGGGAACCTCCACCGACACGTGTCGCTGAGGCGTTCAGGTTGTCCGCTGTGACCTCTGGGAGCAACAGCATGAAGATGCAGAGAGCAGAGGTCACTCTCCAGCTGAAGAGGTTGGCTAAGGTGAGGAAAAGCATAGCTGTCACCGAGGTTAGTCTGCCCCCCTCTTGTCAGTGAGGGTGGTGAGGTGAAGGAGGACGTGCTTCATCGTTTCAGGCTCTTCATTAGCTGGCTCTCTCTGAAACAAGCCATGGAGAAAAACAAACTGGTGCTAATAAATCCTTCAGCTTCTGTAAAGGTTTTGATTTCAGCAAAGCTTGAACAAAAAGGCGAAATACAACGCACCGACCAGTGCACACCAGTAAAACAGGTTTCAGTCCCTCTGACAAAGACGTGGAAAACATTATGTACTCACCTCAACTACTCACCACCTTCCCCCCCTCTCTAAAATGGAGAGGGTCTCTCCATTTTCCTGTTCTTCTCATCTGCATCTCCTCCACACTTGCTTTCTCTTAGGCAGTGTCTTCCTTGTTCCCTCTCAGCGTAGACATCTTAGTCCAATAATCCACCTCTAAGAGGATTCACTGCAACTGAGAAAAGGCAGAGATGTAAGATGTGTAACGAGCAATATCTCAGAAATAGTACCAAAAATAATATAATATGAAAAATGAGACGAAATGTTTATTTAGTCTTTGCCAAGTCAATAAAAGTAAATTCCTGTTTGCAAAAGTAGCTTGGCATATTTATAACCAATACCTTTTAGAAGCTAAATGTTCAGTTTTGTCTTCTAACACTGCCGCTGTCTCTACTAAACTATACTTTTCTATTATTATTATTATTATTATTATTATTATTATTATTATTATTATTATTATTATTATTATTATTATTAAATATTGACAGGGACTAAATTAGATCTTGCATGCACAAAGCAGAGACACCATTGTGAGCGTCAGGATTCAAATGACCCAAAACATTGAATAAATAAAATAAAAATATGTTTTTCATCTGTAAAACACCTTCATCAGCATATTTGGTGAAGAAACGTAACTCTCCTAGCACAGTAATCCCACTCTAAGCTAGCAGTCATGAAGACTAACGCGAGCAGGAGATTACAGCATCTGAGCAGCACTTTACATTAAAACGCCATCAGCTGAGGCTGTACTGGATTGACTGGGGGACAAGATCCCAATCCCTGTAGATCAAGGTGTGATCCTAGGTTTTAGAAGAAAAGACAGAAGTCTAGATTCAAGCAAAGACCTTTATGGTGTTTATTGTTCAGCACAAATCTACTTCATCAGTCTCACTGACACATTGAATGTTTTTAATCCCAGACTGAACAAATAATTTGAACTCTTGCTTTAAATTTCCCCTTACAAATAAAACCAACAAGTTGATTAATCTCGTTAAAGGATTCCTTGAAGGGATGAACATCTCCCACTGCATTTAATACCAGATTACCTGAGATCATCACATTTTGACAAAATGACAAACTTATTGGCATTTTGGTCAAAGTTTGAAAACAAACATTATGCACCATCTGGTGAAATTGTAAAAGCTCAAGTAACACCAAGTATGTTTTGAGAATAACTCTGTTAAAACATCAAAGTTCATGCTCAATAATCCAGAGAAAAATCCAACAAAGTTCAGTCAGGTCATCTGGACAGTTTTTTTTTTAGACGTTTCATCCTTCATCCAAAGGACTTCATCAGTCCGAGGAGTCACAACAAACTCAGTCCCACGAGCAGCACACTCACATAGTGGCCCAACCAGTTTACTGGTGATAAGATGGTTCCTGGGGCCCACCCTCTCCCCCTATGACTCCTTTGAGGTAGCCATAACCAACGTGGTTCAAAACATCAAAGTTCATGTTCAAACACTTTGAACATTCAGTTTTAGTTCAATATCTGTAACTTGAGTTAGACTTTTTTTGTTTGTTTCCTAAGATTTAAGTTTCATTGAAATCCATCCCCTGGTTCATGAGACGTTTTGCTAACAGTCAGACACACCAACACACACAGACACCGGCAGAAACATTGTTGCCAGATGACCAAATACCGTAGTGATACAACTTTTCTTTCCTTTGTCACAATGAGGTGCATTAAAGCTTTTAGGAGAATTGTCACAGGACCGAGTCCTTTTCATTTCATTATTGCAGCTTGAGGGAAACACCAGCACAGTCCCTGCACAACTTCCAAAACCATTTAAATATGTAATAAAATGCGTGTGTTCATGTAGAACCATCAGGCCAGAAACAGCTAATATGACTTTTTTTTTTTAAATAAACAAACTTACAAACATATTCTTATCACCCAGCTGCTGTTGGAGTAAGAGATTTATGACAAATAAACCAATCCAGCATGACTTGTTCTTAACCGGCTTTACACCTTTGTGCTTAGTGTCACAAACAGCTCGTCAGTAAATTTAATGAGAAATGCATTTCTGAACCCTGTGACCTCACGAGAGAATGAACCATCTGTGTGCAGCCACATGGTGGCAGTGCGTGACAGCACACCGGTCTGCTGGGCTTTAAAGAAGCAACAGAAACATCCATCCATCCATCCATCCATCCATCCATCCATCCATCCATCCATCTTTACCTGCTTCTTTCTTTTCAGGTGGTGGAGATCACTGGTGCCCATGTCCAGTCATCACTGTGCAAGAGGCAGGGGACACCCTGGACAGGTCTCCAGTCCATCACAGGGACACAGACACAGAGACAAGCAACCATTCTCTCTCTCTCTCTCTCTCTCTCTCTCTCTCTCTCTCTCTCTCTCTCTCTCTCACACCTAGGGATAATTTAGAGTTACCAATCAGCCTAACATGCATGTTTTTGGTCTGTGGGAGGAAACCGGAGTACCCAGAGAAAACCTTCGCATGCACGGAGAAAACATGCAAACTCCACCCTGAAAGCCCCCCCCCAAGCTGGAATTTGATCTGGAAACCTTCTTACTGAGAGGCGGCAGCTCTACCAACTGCGCCACCGTGCCGCCCACAACAGAAACAACTAAATAAAACTTTCAAGACTTCAGAGGAAACATATAGGAACGAAAATAGCCGTTCGCTGTTAACATCAGACACAACAACAATAAAGAGCTTAAACAGTTAAACTAATACAACAGAACAATGCAGAAATGTGTTTATTTATGTCATAGGCTATAATGATTAATTTAACACGGTACACCACAGGTCAGGTCAAGTCAGATTTATTTATATAGCACATTTAAAACAGAGACTGTTTCCAAAGTGCTTAACAAAAGAGAAAAAAGATGGCAGCATCAAATAAAAGTAACAAGATATTTTTACAGCATATGGAAGAAAAATATAAAACACTAAACATAATTAGAAATAATGAAATACTAAATCAGATCGCCTTGTCTCATATGTCACAGAATAATAACAAAAAAGCTCGTTGATCGTGTGTTAAATAGGAATAAAACAAAAAGCGTGAACACAACCAGAATCAAAGAAAAACTAAGGTGTAGAAAGTATCACAGAAATGACGATAATAATGATAAAAAGTAGATTATTATGTACTGTAGTGTTTAAAGATGTGAATCAGAGTGTCAAACTAAAAAGAGACCATGGTGGAGGTGCTTTTAGGTGCAAGAAGCTGCTCCTGCGCTGCCATGAGAAGGTAGAGGAATAAAAGTTCTGGTTCAGGGTTCTTTGGTTCTTTAGGGATTAAAAGGGGAAACTGTCATTTACCGTTCCTTCCATTCTGCAGTTTGTTCCTGTCTTGTTTCGTGGCTGCTTCAAACCAGAGTACGGTGTAAATAAATACAGAGACGAGACTAAAGCAGGGGTCTGCAACTTTTACAAGCAAAAGAGCCATTTCTGCCCCTTTGATTCTCAACTGGTGGCCCACAGACCACTTTAAGTTTGTTGGAGGACAATTTTCTGACCAGTAGGGTAGTTGGGTAGTTCTCTGGCCATTGTAAAGCTGAAAATATCTTATGATTTGTTGATATTTTTACATTTTAAGACAAAAAAAAAAGACAATATTCTTGTAAAAAAGGAAAAATAATATGTTATTTCCCAATATTAAAAAAAAATATATAACAATGAACTACGCAAGTCTAGGTAAATTATTTTAATTGTGGAAAAATCAAGTATCCTACTTAGAATAAATAAAGTTAAAGTATGTTTTACTCCTATTAGTTCTAGTATTCACATATTCACAAAGGAAGTGACAGAAAAACTGCTAAAACTAGCCCTTTTTGTTGGTATAAGAACCAATAAAATTCAGTTTAAAGTTAGTTTTGATCGAAGCTTGAAAGCGCCGCGCAGAGGGACCAAAGAGCCGCATGTGGCTCCAGAGCCGCAGGTTGCAGACCCCTGGACTAAAAGGATCAGCAGCTCCTGGAGCAAAGTACTCTTCATCAGCTGCTGCAGAAACATCCTTCACTGAGCCTCTTCCTCTACTCCCATGGGAGACTGTGACAAATGACGATTGTAAGAAGCTGTTGGAGCTTGAGAACGTAAAACAATGTGTATTTCTCCTAAAATCCACTTTCTTTAAACATAGCTGAGTAGTTTTTAATATGGCCAAAAGGCGTAGACTTTTTTTTAGTCAAATCCAGAAATACGTTCATAAAACATGGTGCACAATCGTGAAGAATGCTCCCTTTACTTTCATGGTGGTCATCGATCATTAGGGACAGCATCAATATTCGTATTTTTTATTCAGGGCCCAGCAGGAGTGTTACAGTAAGGGTGAAATGTTTGATAAACGGCTCTTTGAGCCAGCACTGGCCTCAGGATGAACAAATGGTGTGAAAGAACACAATAACTCATAAACGTAACCTCACAGGACATTTAAATAAAAAATAAAAAAACTGTGCCTCTGAGGCATAATCAATTACAGGGTCATCACGCACTGACTTTGCTTTATTTTTAATGATTTGTCTGAACAAAGTTTAATTTATTAGCAGATATTTCTGGAAGGTTATGAATATTTAACGCACATCTGCTTTTAAACGAACAACTTCGTCAGCAAGCTGTTGCTTGTTTACACAGTCAGCAGTTCGTTAACTTTTGCATGGATTCGTCTGTATGGGAGTCTAATAAATGCCTGCAGTTAAAAAGGGAGGTGATAATGTTTTTGCATTTGATGGGAATCTGTGTGTGTGTGTTTGACTGTCTGTTAGCAA